GGAAGTATAAATTTAAATGGACCGTCAGGTGGTAGTGGTTCGTTCTGGTTTAGTAACCGAAGAAATTGTGCCCAAGAACGCCTGTCCACCCCCCAAGATAAAAACTCTGTATCTCTTGGAGGGTTAATTTCAATCTTTTGAAATGAAACTGTGGAGTTCATCTTGTCGTATTCTAGCTTCAGATAGTATGTTCCATTTAGTAAAGAGTGGTATTTTTCTTGAAATTCCCAGTAGTATTTGTTTATTTGAGTTTGAAAGTCATTTAGAGTTTTTTCAAGACTTTCGTCTGAACGAATTGTAAAGATTTTCATTTCATCAAATTTTTCTATTAGACCATCAGAACCTTTATACTGGCCATGAAAATATACTGCGAACATAAACGCGTTAGTTCTATTTGAAAACAAAACTCTTCTAAATCCTATTGCCTTTGCATCTGAAGGACTTTGAAGCCAACGAACTGGATAGTCAAACCGATAAGCTCCGGATAAAATTTCTTCATCTGAAATATTCCTACCAGCGTTTGTAAAGATATAGTCTAACGGTTTTGTATCTGCTACTTTTGTTCTTTGTTTTTCAACCTGAAGCATTTTATATATGTAAAAATATACTGTTTTAAAAAATGTTTTAAAATGGTATGCCATTTCATATTTCTCATCTAATTTCTCATGAACTTTCTTGTCTATGTTTTGTCAAGACTTTCATCGTCAATGTTTTCTCATGAACTTTCTTGTCTATGTTTTGTCAAGACTTTCATCGTCAATGTTTTCTCATGAACTTTCTTGTCTATGTTTTGTCAAGACTTCTTCATCTAACAAACAAGTTTCCCAACGTACATTTCAAATAAAATAAAAATATACTGTTTTAAAAACGTTTTAAAATGGTATGCCATATAGCTTCTTGAATTTGTTAAGAAGTATTGGAACGTGTTTTCCATCTGTATCTCTAGTGCTTACATAAGCATAGCCTGCCTTAGTAAAATATACTTGTAATTTTCTATAGTTTACGCCGGTATAAAAGTAGAAAGAGTCTTGTTCTTCGCTATAGTAGTAAAACTCAAGCGTATGCTTACCATAGTCTGTAATTTCAATTGCTTCATCTTCTAGTTCGTCGACAAATTCGAATACTATATCTCCAAATTTGCTTTTGTTCTTACTGTTTTCAGAACAAGTAACCCAACGTAAGTTTTCAAGTCTATTGTCGTTTCTTATACGGTTTATATGGTCTACAAAAGGTAAATTGTTAGGGTTCGGTATAAAATGAGTTGCAATGACAACATGTTTAAAATAGTGTTTTCCACCAATCCTCATCCTAGCATATCCGTTATTTTGCTCCCATTCGCTTAAAACTCTTTTTGTCTTTTTGTTTCTGACTTCAAATGACTCACAACAGTGAATTTCATATTTCTCATCTAACAAACAAGTTTCCCAACGGTCCTTTCCAACAAACTCAGCGTACATTTCAAATAAAATAAAAAAAATATTTTTTTAAAAAATGTTTTAAAAAATGTTTTACTATTTCATGCAATGTTTTATTTCATGCAATGTTTTATTTCTGTCCCGTCTTCAAGTATGGCCCAGTACTTCCTTTTCGATATTACATGAACTTCGGAAAATACCTTGTCTAGCTTAAAAAGGCCCATCTTCTCACCGACTAAACCCATTTCAATGAGTTTGTTATACCCTTCTTCGTTCGTCATGAGTGCATCGATGTTCTCATAGTATACCTTCACTTTCGATTTAACATCGGAGAAAAATTTGTTGTAGTTGTCAAGGACTGCCTTTGCGAACTGAGGATAAGACCAATGTTCGACAATAGGTTTTACTGTGGTTACTAAGCCACCTTGACCTTCGGTGAACTCGTACTTCAAAACAAAAGGGGAGAACCTTTCAACAAAGTTGTCGACCTTCTCATAGTGTTTACTCTTCATCTTTTGAGGTTTTTTAATGGAATACCCCCATGTCGAATTCATAAGCAATTTGAGTGTCATTGCAAGTTTGGGGTTTGAAGCTTTCCTAATATCATAGAGTTGTTGTATGACCTTTCCAACTGTATAGTTCCTTCCCGGGAACTCACCATCTTCGTTTGGAATTCCAGTCGGAATATATTGGACGAACCTCATGTATGCAGCGTTAAGGTCGACATAGTATATTTTTTCGTATGAGTCGAACTTGTCGCAACCAATGGGTCCGGTTCGTGGAAATTCAAGTGAGTCTCTTATCTTCTGAGAAACTTCTCCTGTTATCTCATAAACATCGTCGAAGCAACCTGTTTCATATAAAACCTTCTGACCTAACTCTGATGCTCTCCAATACAATTTGACGTCGATTGGATGTCTCAATGGAAGTTTGTTTATAGCATCTTGAAGTTCTTGCAACCTCATTGGAAGTTCTTCTGGTTCAGGTTGGTATCCGAACAATCCAACTCCTTTTGGAGCTGTGTACTTCTTTTGTGCTATAACTTTGTCTGGAACAACTTTTGGTCTTACCAACAATGGAAAGTTTGTTTCATCTTTTGGTACAAAAGTTTCTGTCAGCTTGTCATCTGGAATTGGTTCCAACAAGCCTTTCTCGAAAAGAATGTTAACAGCTCTGACAATGTTGCACTTACCTTTTCCGAACAATGGGTTTGTAAGACTTTCGTTCAACATGAAGTGGTTGTGGACAAGTACAATCTTCAACCATGGTAATTTGAAGTCAACAACATAGTCATCGTGCGAAGAACCTTTCTCAGTCGGTATGTTGACTCGGATATTCACATTTGCCAACGGTGCAACTTTTGACAATTGACCTCTGAGAATGTACCTTGTCTTCACACATGACTCAAGATACTTCATCTTCTCATCTGTAACAAGACCAGAGTTCCTGAGACATGTAAGAATACAAGGTTCATTGACAATTTTTTCAATTGAATTGTAAATTCCATACCTTGTTAAGTCAATGTCAGACTTATTTCTGAACGGGAAATACCCAGCATGTTGTCTGACTGCTTGAGGGTTGGGTTGGTACCATTCAAACTTCACGCTTGCAATTCCTTCAATTGCGTTCAAAATATCTGAGTCGGAGTCAAACATTTGTTCTCTCTTTGTAGTCTTGAAAGCGTCAAGAAGTTGTGCGGCTGTTTGTTCATTGCCATGTGAGTAGTATATATGACCATCTAAATCTGTTACGGTTAGTCTGAGATTGTATCCTTTCTTATTTCCGTCTTGTATGGCAGCAAGTACTCCCATGAAGCCTTCTTTGTTCTTTCCTTCTTCAAAGTTTACTGTAAAGGTTCGACCAGAAGTAATTTTACTTCTAACTTCGCGGTATTTTTCATATGCATATCTTGTTCTTTCCATGGGAGCATGTGCGTCTTCACCTTTTCCTTTTTTCCTTCTCAAAGGATGCAATTGTTCGTCATGTTTCCAGTAGAATCTGGCAAAGCCGTCGTGTCCTTCAACCTGTGGCTCAGTAACATTGAAAGGCATGTCCATAAGACGTTCTTCTTCTAACCTCTCAAGTCTGTTTGGATAATTTGTGCGTGCTGTTTCCAGGTCCATTTCATAGGTCAGACCAGCCAGTTTGTCATAGACTTTTATTGGCTTTCCCTTCCTATATTTAAACTTCTTTGAAACTCTCCAACCATATCTTTCTAACTCTGCTTTTACTCTAGCAGATTTTCTATCCATTCTATACGGGGGCATTTTTATAAAAATAAAAAAATGTTTTTTCTTTACTTTACGTAACCACCCGCTGCCAAAAGTCTTTGACGCCAACCCATACCAGCTAATGAAGGTTGACTTGGTTTAGTCTGGAGACTAAACTTTGGTTTTGGTTTATCTTCAGTTTTTGGTTTCTCTTCTTCTATCGGTTTTTCGTCACTTTTCGGTTCTGCTGACTTTACCTCACTTGCTGGAACAGTTGTGTCGTTAGTATCTTCATAAATATCATATGCCATCTGTTTCTGTTTTCCTTTCAACTTTTTGTGTTTGTTGTAAAGTTTAGAATATTTCGACTCTAAGTCAATGAGATGTTCTATAATGAACTGTTGGTCAGTGAAGTAAACTTTTCCATCTGTTGTCTCGAAAGCTCCTTCAGACTTCAATATTTTATTTGTGAGAGTCTGTTTCTTTTTTGAGATACTAGCCGTTCCATTTCTATGAAAAGTGACTTTGTAGTTAGGGTTTGTATTTCCAGACCTCACACTTTCTATTATTGAATTTTTCTCTTCATCTGTAAGTTCTTTGACAGGTTTTGACAATGGTTCTGAACTTTTTGTTTGTGGTGTCAAATCTACCGTTTCAACTTCTTCGGTCATTTCATCTCAGTAAAAAATTTTAGTTTGGTTTGTTTTCAACTGGTTGTTGAGGTTTTTTAAGTCGGTCTAAAACTTCCTGAGGTATAGGAAGAACTTGACAAACACGTGGTTGTGTAACTGCTGGAAGCCGACAAATCCATCTTGAGCCCATTTGTCTCAATGCTGTATTGTTCATTTCATCTCAGAAAAAATTTTACATTCCCCACGTTTGAGGCGGTTGAGGTTGGTTGTTGTTTACCCACTGTTGTGCATGGTTATATCCTCTGTTAAAGAATCTTTCACCTTGGTCCATGTAGTGTCCTGCTTGGTTATAGTAGTCATTTGCTTTGTTATAGTAATTTCCTGCTTGTCTTCCTACATTGTCCATCCATCCTTGAACTTTTCCTCTTGTTTCAGGATTTGGAATAAGATTTGCTGCATCTCGTGCTACCTCCCAACCTTTCTGTACAGTTTGTATAATAGGTTGCGCTTTCTCTTTCAGTATACCTAATGTACTCAAAATCTTCCTTCCAATTCCAAATGCACCTCTGGCTAGTGTTCCCACTGCGGGTAAAAATCTAGATGCGACTCCTGCTAATGCGCCAAATAAACCCATTTCTTATGGGTTAAAAATGACGAATTCAAACAAGGACCCGTATGTTTCTAAAGCAACAAAGAAAGCACTCATGGTAAAAATCTTTAGTTCAACACCAAATGCTTGGTTTATGGATATCTTGGAAAACATTCCGAGGTATAGAGAAGATGGACCACCATACTGGCTAATATTTGTTGGTCAAAACACAAGATACTGTGAAGCCATACCATTACAGTCCAAAAATATTTTAGATGTGAAAACTGCTTTGACAATATTCGTTGACAAATACCATCCAACAAAACTGACATCTGACTGTGAAAGTTCTTTCAAATCAGACGATATTAAAAACTATCTGCGTTCAAAAAATGTAAACCAATATTTCATTGTCGACCAAAACCATTCTGCTCTTGGTGTCATTGACAGTTGTATAAAAATCTTAAGAGACTTAAATCAACCACAAGGTGGTGAGGTAGATGAAATGTCATATGACGACAAGTATAGACATTTCTCCATGGCAAAGATGAGACAAGTTTTAAATATTTACAATACCCGTAAACAAAAAGGTTTGGGAAACCACTCCCCCGAAGAAATGAAAAACAACCCTGACTTAGAGAAAGACTATATATTTAATAGTTTAGTCAAAAGAGACAAACAAGAAAGAATGCCAGGCTTCAAACTTAAGAAAGGTGACAAAGTAAAAATAGAAATACCTAAACGCGACCCATATGAAAATACTATTGACTATGACAACAATGGGAACTCGACAGGTACTCACATTCGTGTTCGTAAAAATAGAAGAAAGTATACAAGAGAATATTATGAAGTTTTAGGCAAACATGGCAAAATGTACAGACTGCAAGCAGAAGATAAAACTACTATTGTCAGACCTCGTTTCAAACTTGTCAAAGTTCAAGGTGGTATACTTTCAAAGACAGTTCCTAACAAATATAAGACAACTCCTGACGAATATGCTAAAGAAGTGGAACATGACGACTAAGCAATTCTATACCATGCGTAAACTGTCATGTAAGGTGGCATGTAGTCTTTACTTTGTCCCGTTGTTTGTGTATACCCTGAAACGCGATGTGTATGGTTTCCTTCTCCCTGAGTGTCACTCCAGTAACAATTTATAGCAAACTTAACGTCGTCTTTAACATCATATCCTTTACCTTTTGTCATTCCTGACCAATCCCAATATCTATGCTTATGCCAACCTGCTTGAGATGTACTTAAATCTATGTAGTGACTGTGTGCAGGTAAGTTTTCACCTGAAATCGTTTTACTTCCACCTGTTTCCTTTGAAGAGTTTGCACAATACAAAAACCTGTCGACTATTTGTTCCCATGCACCAACACCAAACATTACTTGAGGACCTCTTGCTTCCATAGATGTATAAATAGAACCTACTGGGTTCATTAAATCAAACATATGAGACATTATAGGATTGTCTCTTTTGAACTTAAAATATAGTGCAACTATTTCAGGTTTCTTCTGGTTTGTGTCGGAATATTTTTTATAATATAATCTTATGTTTTCAGGGTAGGTAAAATCTTGACTATAATATTTATTTCTGTCATCTGTATAATAGTATACTATTCTCGTTTTTTCTATTGCATTATATCTTTTATATCTATAAAAATCTAAATATAATGTTTGCTTTTTTGGGTCTGCGTGTAGTGTTCTGACGTCAACACCATAGTCATAATAATATGGTGCTGGAGCTGGGTCAGGCAATGTCATATCTGCCATTTCATAAACTCTTAAATATTTCTTTTGTTCGTCTCCATATAAGTTTAAGTAGCAGTTGTTGTCTAATGGAACTTTAACTTGTGTACCATCGTTCTTTATATAGCTTACATACATTTCATTGTTATTTTTCGGAATGAGTTTACACCGTATACATTTCTTAAGGACTGTACAAACTCCCATCTAAAATATTTGTTTTCTTCATAGATAGAAAAGTCACCAACAATAGTTTCAATATTTTTTGTTGTTCCAACTAAACTTTGGTATATTTCATTGACATATGTTTTATCTGCTTTTGTCTCTAATGTTTCTTGTAAGTTTGCAATATTTGCAATGGTATGTGTATGTCCAACGGCACTTTTCCTGTTTAAGGTTTCTTGTAAGTTTGTAATATTTGCAATGGTATGTGTATGTCCAACGTCACTTTTTCCTGTTTAAGGTTTCTTGTAAGTTTGTAATATTTGCAATGGTATGTGTATGTCCAACGTCACTTTTCCTGTTTAAGGTTTCTTGTAAGTTTGTAATATTGCAATGGTATGTGTATGAGTCTTTTTTAGAATATTCTTTGTCAGCTTCTTGTCACTTCACTTGACATTTTATTGTCAACATATGTTTTGTCCGCTAGTTCAGGATGAGTATGTTCTTTTGTTGCATATGTTGCATCTGCTCTGTCATGTTCTTCTTGAACTTTTTCAATGACATACTCTTTTCAGCTTTGTTTGTCAACATCTGCTTTTGTTGCATATGTTGCATCTGCTCTGTCATGTTCTTCTTGAACTTTTTTCAATGACATACTCTTTTGTCAGCTTTGTTGTCAACATCTGCTTTCAAAGAAGTTCATCTATAGGTTTCTCGTTTAAAGTTCCTTTGTTGGATTTATACAAACAGTATGGTTCTTACTGTCTTGAAATAGAAACTCGTCTGTCAATGGGTTTTAATGTCAGTTTTAAGTTTCCTTCTTTCATGACTCAGATATCTTAGAATAGTTTGAAAAGTTTGTTGTGTTCTTATTTAGAGCTTGCAAAATGAGTTGTCGGTTGTGTTGTATTTCTCTCATAGACGCTGTTTCTTTCGACATTTTTTATTCTAGATAAAAAATGCTTTCCAATAGAAAAAGAAAATTCAAGAGTTGCTACAACTAAACCATTAGATGAACTTTTTTACTAATGTCGGTCAAAAGTTTGAGACAGAGACCGTAAAGCATGAAGGCTATCGTTTTGACTACCCATTAAGATGGCTAAGAGACCCATCCGTCACAAAAGCTATTGGCTTTCGTAGAATGAAGTTCATTTCAGAAGCCATACATGGTTTCCCATTTACGGTCGCTTTTGAAGTTCGATACTATAACAAAGAAAAACGTACGTATGAGAAATTTGAACAGGGAAAACTTTTACAAGTGAATTTGCTTGTAAACTTAGAAACAACTCTTCAAGCTTTTCAAGAAAAAATAAACGATATCTATCTCGAATATGCAAACCAGTTTAACATTGACGAAGGAGAGTACCATCTCGATATTTTATATGACAGGAAAAATGCAACTGTTAAAAATCAATAAATAGAAGACCTTGGAGAAGACGTTTATATTTCTACAAAATATAACAACTTGGCATGGTATAGATTTTTGAGGATGTTAAATCAGCCTGCAGAATATCCAGTACACCCGAACTTTTATGAAGTCGAAACCCTAATGGAACATATGAAAATGTTTTCGACTCAGATGCTAATTATAGTTCATGCTTCATTTTCTGGTGCACAAAACTCTTTTTTTATGCTTGGCAAATGACTTTTACGAAAAACCTACAAAGCTATATGAACCACGAGGAAGTATTTCAGACTTTCAAGTATGGTTTACAACATTGGAAGAAAGAGAATAGTTCCATTATACCATGCGTTTTACTTAGAACTTAGTCTCATATACAACTACTATCGAACGGTAAAAATATAATTTTAATACGGTTGAGGTGTTGGATTTGGTTGCCAACTAGACTGTGGTGCAGGTTCAGGCTGTTGTATAACAGGAGCTTGTTCTTCTGGTTCAGGGTCTTTAGGTATAATACCAACAAACTGACCTACTCTTTTACCAATATTTTTGATACCGTTCCATACTCCTCTTCCGACAGATTTTATTCCATTCCATATACCTCTTCCAACATTTCGAAAGAAGTTTCCTATTCTTCCAAAGAAACCCATTTTACTATATGTAAAAATCTAATGTCCACCTAGTCTCTTACGTTTCCTGTTGAGTTCCATAGCATTTTTTAACTGGAGCTCATACATTCTATTTCTCCTCTGGTAGAAAACATACTCTGGGTCAACTCCTGTGTTCGCGTCATCTGCATAGAGTTGTTTATATCCCACTTCAGGGTTTGTATAAAACTCTTTCCATCTCATATTTGCATACCATGGTGGTAAGCCTAACGCAGCGTCATTTGACATGGCAGTTTGCATTTGTACATCTGTTGGCACTTGACCATAGTTTGCCATTGCAGTTTGTATTCTAACTTCATTTGGAATATTCTCTGGGTTTGGTTGTCCAGGTTGCTGTGCATTCGCTAAGTTCTGTGCGTCCATTTTAATATTAGATAAAAATATCTCTTACGAGTACATATGCTGAACATTTGCAGACATTGGTTCATCTTCATATTCTCTATATCTTTCTGCCACGTCAAATAAGTAAATGACACAATGGAAAAAACCTAAAACTAACAATCCGATTTCAAACCACATTTACTTACCAATAAAATTTCTTTGTTATGACACTTTCTCCGGTTTATAGGACCTCTCTCATATTCTATCTTATCGTATCTAAACTCATACTCATGTATGTCCTCTAACCATCTCATGACACTTTCCAAACCACTTTTATCGGATGTAAAGTAAAAGCATGGATGGTTATGTAAAACGTCTAAAGTTTCTAAAGAGTCTCTCAAAGTCCAGTCTGCTTGGTATTGAAAATCGTATGTGTTAAAGAACGGCGGGTCTACTATAAAGAAAACATTTTCCTTGTTTTTATATTTTTCATACAACTCTGTCCAACGACATCTCACAAACTCTATACCCTCAGTATATTTTTCTATGTTCTCTTTGAAAACCTTTGTATAGTTAAGATATAAAACGTTTGACATAAGTGTTTCAATGTCATGAACTCTTATAGAACCACTATATAATAGTCTAGAAGATATACTATCCCAGTCAATATACTCTGCCTTTTTCAAAACCTCTCTGACAATATTTTTCTTATCTAATGGTATACTTTCCATCTTACCTATAGGTATCTTTTCTTTCAACTCACTCAATATTTTGTTTGTGTCTGGTATATGTTTGAGACGGTTCATATAGTTGTCGAAGTCATTGCATATAATCTTTGAGTTTGGGAATACGGTATGGCACAGATGGGATATATAGAAACTTCCACCGAACAAGTCTACAAATGTTAGACCATTCGGTAGTTTCTTAAGTTCTCTCAATAGAATATCTTTACATCTACTCTTATTTCCGAAGAAGGGTAACGGTGGTTTTGTAAAATTCATTTTATATATATAATAAAAATGTTTTTACCTGAAAAGTGACAGAAAAGGCTTCTCAAAGTATACTTCTTGGAACGCCCGTAACTTTACTGTAGCGACGATAGACTCTTACTTGTCCGGACATAGTTAAACTATTTTGAGTCCTCTACCGAAAAGTCAACAGCAACGACTTTCAAAAAATTTTAGGGGCTAGAAGGCGCAACGCGCCTGGAAGCCCCCACACCCCAAAAAAACCTCATTTTATATAAAATGCATTTTATACTAAATATCTTCAGGGGGCTAGAGGGGCGCAGCCCTGGAAGCCCCAATACCTTTTTTTTTTTTTTTTTTTTTTCGGTAGTGTTTACTAATAGATGAATAGTATATAAATTCTATTAAAATGGATTTGATCCAAAAAAATATATAAAATTTGATCATAAATAAAATCGTTTTAAATTACTTCTTCATTTAAATTATAACAATTATTTTTGGTTTTATCGTTTTTAAAGCTCATGTGGTTTTTTTAACCACAGAATACTTATGTGCTGTAGCAAGCTTGCAATCCAAAGCTCACGTTAGACAACAAGAGTCATGAAGTCTCATACTAAGGGATATCCAACATATATTTTAATAATCTAATGTTTGTGACAAATATTCAACATAAAATTAAGTTTTCGTTTCGTTACAAGGCATTCATACTTTGGAGATATCATATTTAATGTACAGAAAAGTTAATATTAAACAATACATGCTAAAGAATTAATAAATAAGATAATAAAATAAATTTATACGTAATTACTTTCATTTAATATGCTTTATGCTGTATAATATTGATTAAGAGGCATTAAAAGGTTCCATAGTCTGCTTTTATAGGCAAGATTTTTGATAAAAATTTTAAATTTTGAAAAATGATGAGAAAAGGAAAAAAAAGGTAAATGAGAGCAAGAGGAGGGAAAAAAAGAAAAAGAAAAGGAAGGGAAGGGAAAAATAAAAGAAAGAAGGACATATAAAAATTTAGATGCGCATTCTTAATGCCGAGGCGGCTTGCCGCCGAGGCGCGATTTTTTTAGGCCTCTACGGTAACCCGGCAATGTTTTTTTAAATCTTGTACAGCCCTAGATAAATAGCATCCCTAGGGCTGTACAAGATTTAAAAAAACATTGCCGGGTTACCGTAGAGGCCTAAAAAAATCGCGCCTCGGCGGCAAGCCGCCTCGGCATTAAGAATGCGCATCTAAATTTTTATATGTCCTTCTTTCTTTTATTTTTCCCTTCCCTTTCTTTTCTTTTTCTTTTTTTTCCCTCCTCTTGCTCTCATTTACCTTTTTTTTCCTTTTCTCATCATTTTTCAAAATTTTAAATTTTTATCAAAAATCTTGCCTATAAAAGCAGACTATGGAACCTTTTAATGCCTCTTAATCAATATTATACAGCATAAAGCATATTAAATGAAAGTAATTACGTATAAATTTATTTTATTATCTTATTTATTAATTCTTTAGCATGTATTGTTTAATATTAACTTTTCTGTACATTAAATATGATATCTCCAAAGTATGAATGCCTTGTAACGAAACGAAAACTTAATTTTATGTTGAATATTTGTCACAAACATTAGATTATTAAAATATATGTTGGATATCCCTTAGTATGAGACTTCATGACTCTTGTAGTCTAACGTGAGCTTTGGATTGCAAGCTCTGTGGTTAACGAACATAAATTAATTGTAAAGTTTTCAAAATTTTTCATCGTTTCTATCAGCATCTATTTTTCCTTTAAAATAATATATTTGTATGAATACAATATTTAGTAATTTTTTTATTTCCCATAATTTCATTCAAAATTTCAGAAAAAATTAATTTCTATTCAATATTATTTCAGCTTCAAAACACTTCATTCTTATAGATGTTGATTCACTAAAGTGTGATACTCAATGTCTTATTTCAATGAAAATTGTTCTGCAAATTTATTTCACTTTTGACCTCACTTTTTCCGTAATTCAATTTTTTACTTTTAATATTTTAGATCTTCATAATATCATTTGAAAAATTAACCATATAAAAAAATCAAGTTAACAATTCACTTTTTCCGTAATTCAAAAATCAAAAATATAAATAATTATCTTTTTATCAAATATTATTATTATATTCTATGAAAAATGAGGTCCGGAAATTTTGCGGATTCCCGTAACTCAATTTTACGGAAAAAGTGCAGTAAACTATTCAAAATACGGAAAAATTGGTGTAAACTAATGATTTTACGGTAAAATCACGGAAAGTCCCGGAAGAATATATGTGCCTATATGAAATTATACAAAAATGAATCAAACGCATTTTAAAAGATTGTTCTTGTATTATAAATGCTATTCGCAGATTTATTAGTTGAAGAAAATTACCAAATTTTTGCCGATTTACAAAAAATGATTTACAAAGCATATTTTTATAAGGCTTTAAAAATCTTTAAAATGTGACCGGTGACGGAAATCCATGGTAACCAACCGCGGTTCCCGTTTGGAATGCCATAAGCATCCCTATATAGTGCCTAACAATATTTATACGGGCCAAAAAAATTTGGCTAGAGATTTGGCGAGTTATAAAACTTAGAAAATTGAGATGGATTTTTATTTTTGAATTTTTTTGGAAAGTTAAAATTGCGATTAAAAATCGATTTCCAGGAGAACTAAGCATCTCATCATATATTTAAATCGATAAAAATATTAAATAATAGTTGAATAGTATAACTACATGAAATTATGGCTGAATCTACAGAAAAAATGAACATATTTGACATTTTTGAAAATTCATACGTTAGATGGTGACGGACTCATAAACTATACTTTAGCTAAGATTGATATATGGTTTCAACAACACATGGTTAAAATCGTAAAAATATTTTAGATTTCAAAAAGATATATATGGTAATATAATGGAACAAAGTCAACAAATAGCATGTTAAATATGTTATAATTAACTTTTTATTAGATCCAATAGTAGATATCGAATGGTTTCCAGCTTTATGGTTAAATATTTTCTTTTCGAGCTTCTCTTTAACTGTTGTATTAAGGTTGTAAATTTTTGATGCTAGAAACTATGGAATCTTCTTTGCTGCTGCATTTTTCTTGAGAGTTCTTGCAATTTCGAATAGATCTGCGCATTGTATGAAATGGAGGCTTTAAAATATCTTGAAAACAGAATAGGACTGCTTTTCCAAAGGAATGCTTACTTGTAAATCAGAGAGTTTCAAAATTGAGAGCAAGATTATCATCATAACTTTCGATTTTGCTGCGAAAAAGGAAGACAAGTAATTAACAAATTATTTACTGTTGTTCATCAAAAGAAGAAAACTTTGATAACAACTAATGATGATAAAATCAAGCTATCTTTTAATATTTTAAATTGATAAGACATTCAAAATATTTGAATGGTTTAAAATATTTTCTTTTAATTTCTCTAATATATTATCATGATTATATAATCAAATTTAAATTTTTATTCAAAAAGGCAATATTTCAAATTTTTAATTTCAATAATCTTAATTCTGCAATAAATGTATTTAATTGCAGCAAATTTAATGATCTTTCGTCATGCTTAGCAATTTGGAACTCATAAATTAATGATTTCTTCAAGTAAAATTCTGCATTATTTCAAAAGTCAATAATTCTCTAGTAACTTTTCTTCAAACCCTAACCATTATATTATATGTATAATGGAGAATAATTGCAAAGAAAGATAGCCGAATTTACTGGGTAGTTCTTGTGATGCGAAATAATTGCAAATTAACACCTAGTTTTAACAGCATCAATCTCTTTTTGCTCTCATTTAAATGCATTCGCACACTTTAATTTTGAAATATAAGAGTTTTGGAAATTATCAAATTTATCTGCTCAAATACTATAGATCTTCATAAGTGTTAATAGAATCATTAGCCTTACATATAGTGTTTAATATAATGATGCACATTATACTGGGATTCATTCCTTATTCATCTAGTTATTATAAGATTTACAACCCCATGAAAATTTAAAATTTTGTCAAAAATAGTGAATGTACCTTTCAATTTGATTAATTTCAATTTGCTTGTTTACTTATATGCCAGATATTATACAACTTTATCTTCAAATCAAAACGATAATTTTTTTTCTACTCTGCATTTCTACATTTCAGATCACATTTCTATTATATATCGCCATAATATGTAGTTTTAGTGGAAGTCAGTTGATATTGTTGATATTCAAATTTTGATTTCGATAGTTTTTTTATGGTAATTCTGAAGAACACGCATTCATAAACTAATTCTGAAGATATTTGGTTGTATGTTTAATCAGTTTTATTTCAAATGAGGAAAATAAATTTTCAAAAATTATCATTTCTTCATAAATGGATCTGATATTTTACCATTTAAAAACCAGTTAGAAATTTTAGCAAAAATGATCGAAATATAAGTCCAACTAGATTTTCATATTATTCTTTTAATATTGTCACTATAATATGTTTAAATGGAAAGAGTGAACATGAACAACATAAAACTATCTTTTATGTGCTAATCATAAACTCATAAAATTTTGTTAAGCATTAAGTAGAAAACTGAAAAATACTTGCAAAATCTTATATATTGGATTTATTAAATTTGCTTCGGAATAAGCTAAGAATAATTATTAAAATGGAATTGAAATTTTAATACACTATTTTCAAATCTAATCAAAATGATTACACAGGTTATATTGCATTCCATTAGATATCATAGTATTCAGTTTCTAAGTAAAAAGAAATTAAATTGAGATTGTTGAAATATCAATAATTAACTCAATATTTTTAAAGATCTAATATGTATGTAACCTAATATAAACTGATTTGAAAAATGTTAAACCTTTTGATCGATTGAATTAATATGTATTTATTATCGAAGTATTGACTGTTGGAAGAATGTTAACAGATAAAATGATATGATTTATCAAAAGAGTTACAGTTTGAGAAAGATAATTCCTTGATAACCAATTCCATTCATTTTCGGAATAGAAACAAAACTCCCGCATGAAATGCAAAATGGGATAGAAAAGAAGAATTCAAATGCGAAGATTTTGTTGTGATGTGTTGTTCCAGTTTTTCATTAAATTGAAATATAATCGGAAAAAGATCATCATCACATGAATATATGTGGTTTTATGAAATTTCGTAAATTCAAGAACAAATGGTTGGATTTTACACTCCCAGAAAAAGTGTGACGCTCTAATTTTTTTAAATTTTGTTAGTAACTGTCTATACTACTTTATATATTATATATATGAAAAATTATTCAATAATTTGATAAGCTATCGATTTTTAGTATTGAATTTTTGAAAGCTCATAATAAAAATCATAGTATAATTTGAATAGATTATCTTTTGAAATAAATAGATGAAAGAGAACTTGCATCAAAACTAGTTGATGTGCTTCGTGAAATATGTATTAATTTATTTCCTTCTGTTAGAAATCCATCTTTGAAATGTATATTGTTGTCTAGAATAAAAAAGGATTCTATATTTGGACATCCTGAAAAACAATTATCTTCTAGATGAACATTTTCTGAAATTGTAACTGATTGAAGAGAATTAGACGGATTTAATGCATTAGCTTTTAATGTTGTTCCGGATGGAATTGCAAATGTTTCAATGCTTGTGTCTGAAATCCCATTCGATTGAATTGTTAAAATTTTTGTTCTTGGAGTTATGAATGAAATATTAAAATGTTGACTATTTGAATAAATTGCATTAGATTGAATTTCTTCCAATGAGTTTGAAAGAATAATTCGTTGAGAATAAATATATTGTAATGATGAAGTTGTCAAACTAGTCAATTGAGAATCTTTTTCAAATTCTAGAGTATCAATATGAGAATCATAAAATGCGCCACCTTCAATTGATGTAACTGTCTTTGGAATAAGTAATTTACTCATATTCTTTATGTAATGGAACGAATGGCTTTTAATTATTAAAACTGTGGAAGGAAGGCTGATTTCTGTCATGTTCACTGGAACTTTGTAAATCGCATGTTTTTCTTTATTGTAAAGAACTTGATTATCGACTGTATAATATTGATTTTCTATATCAATAGTGATTTTAGTCAATGAAAAACAAAATCTGAATGCTTGTACATCAATATAGCTTATATGTTTTGATAATTTACATGATTCTAAGTTGCGAAAATTAAAAAATGCTTGTGGTCCAATTTGTGTATTAGAATTTGTATCAAATATAACTTTTTTAACTAAACCTAGATTGAATAATGCACTAATTGCACCTTGGGATAATAACCCTCCAGATGTTATGATTAATACATTATCATGTAATTCAAACGTTAGTTCCGAAAATGTAAAACATATTAAAAGAAATAGAATCATCGAAAGGTAATATTACATTATTTAATATTAATACATCGTAGCTTTGATTGAAATATTCCAAATATTTTTCCTTGTGACATCTTATTTATATCTTCATTACTATTGTTTTGGCAGTTTTCATTGTGATAAAGATAATATTTAAAGCATTTGCCGGTTATAAATGAATAGGAAATGTTCTTACAATCAAAAATCCGAAAATAATTTTGAAATTTAGTTAATTGTTCTGAATATGAACTTAGACTCATAAACACAATATCTTGTATATATTTAATAATTATTTCTTTGAGAATACAACTAATACTTTTGAAAAAGTTCAGAGGAAAAGTGATTTCCTCTAAAAAATTTGTGAGTCTATATTAAAAAGTGACTTTTTTTAATACGACCTCTCAATTTATTATCACTTTTTCATCTTTTTTTATGTGATTTGTCTATATAATGTGGGATTGCACATATGATCAGAACTCATTCTTGTGATGATCATATTATGCAATGGGCATACTATTAAAGTTATATAAAAATCAATATTAAGCATTTAGCAATATATTAATGTTTACTATAACAATTAAATTAGATATAATTAGAGTAATATATATATAAAATGGTAATGACTATAATTGAGTTTTGATCAAGATGCTAATTTGAATTAGAATGAATATATCGAATACACATATTTTTATTATTATATATGCGTTATATTGTGTTATTGATGATTATTGTTCAGTAAATATAGTCAGATATCGGATATTTTGCAAATGAAATTAAATTATTAAATGATTAATAGATAAAAATAGGATTTGATGATAGACGTTAGATATATATTATGATATACTTAGAAATACATGTATTTGGATTCATAATGAAGGTAATTAAACATATTATTTGTTTTTATATGAAAAGAAGAGTTAGTAACGTATAAATTAATATATGGTTACATATTATAGAATTAATATTCAAACTGATAGATAAATGATATTAAGAGTCAAAAATTCAAAGAAATCTTACTTTTTTCTATCATTCAAAATTGAATATAATAAAATCATATTGAAAATAAATTAAGGATTTTCGCCATATTTTTGATATAATATATTATTGAACTCTTTATTGTATTTTTATTGCTTTCAATTTTGAGACAACTTTTGATAAAAAAAATCTTTTCAAAATTACTAGATATTTATTTTGTTATTCAAATAATGTTCGTTATAAAATTATTTTATAAAAGTTTGAAGGAGATTTCAAAAATTCATTCCTTATTTAATTTAGTGAGACCTTATGTTATTTAAATAAATCAACGATAAATTTCCTAATAGGTGTCAAAAGATTAATTCACATCCAAGTCAAATTAGGCTATAATGTATGTAGATGAGGACTTCTTCAAGGTAGTCCTCATCTACCTACATTATATAACCATGTTCCCATATTTTTATTTGAATGTGAATGTGTAATTCTCAATTCCAGGACTGAGTGCATGGTTGCAGCGGGTTACTATATGCTCTTGCATCCATGTAGTCAGATCTGGAAATTGGCTTACTTTTCCTTTCGATGCGAATGTGACTAATACTTTTCCAATTGTGCACATATAAGTGCAGGGTACATCACTTGTACCCTGCATTTATGTGTGAAGAACTGAAAAATGACGTATTTTACATGAAGAATATCACGTCGTTATTTTATTTTGGAAAGGAGTTTAAATTTGTAAGCTATTATTCTATTACATTGCAAACGCAACTTCCTTTCATCAATAATTTCATTTTAATAAAATATAAATATCACATTTAGCATAAAATTCTCAAATAATACTCACTTTCTAATTTTGATCATAAATATTGATACTTTATAAATACAAAATTTTTAATTCTTTATTTTTCCTATGAAATTTGTAGTTTTTTGTTTGAATTTCAGAATTTTCAATTTTTTTTGGAAATTTTTATTCAATTTCGGTTTTATTTCATTCTATTCTTTATATATAATAATTTTATTCAAGTTTATTATTTAAAAATTTCAATACATACGATAATTTTTCATTCAATTTTTAAACGAATGTTTTGATGGGATGAGCTTACTGAGCATAAGCTCATCCCATCAAGATATTGCATCAAAACTCTGGCCTTCATCAAGGCCAGAGTTCATAATTCATCACCTCAGTGCCAAGTTCCTCGAAGGTCGTCCTCATTAGGATCGATCCGAGAGGAACTTGGCACTGAATGAAATTCACAAGCTCTGGCCTCAGAAAATGCCAGAGCTTCGCAAGCAATCCTCGGGGCTGGTTTCCTCAAAGACCGCCCTGATTCGGGCGGCCGGAGAGGAATCCAGTCCCGAGAGAGCGTTTATAGGAAGCTCTGGCCTTTTTCTGAGACCAGAGCCTGCAAATACAATCCTCAGGGCCGAGTTTGAGGGAGATCGTCCGCATTTTTGACGATCCCTCTCCTCTCGGCCCTGAAAGACCAATAGACAAAGGTTCTGGCCTCAACAGGAACCAGGGCCTTCGCATACAATTCTCAGGGCCGGCTTTCTCAAATGCCGTCCTGATCTAGGGCGGCAGGAGAGAAGTCCGGCCCTGGGAAGCAGTAAATTCGAAGCTTTGGTCTCTGCAGAGGCCATGGTCTGCAAGTACAATCCTCATGGTGTAGTTTCTACCTGATAGTCCCTCATGAGGACGACCAAGTTAAAACTCTGCCATGAAAGAAAGGAACATGCATGCTCTGGAGCCTTATGAGGCCAAGTCTTCCAATACAGTCCTAGAGGCAGTGTTTTCTGAGAATTTCCACATCACAGACAATTCTCAGCGGAATCCGGCCCTTGGGATCATTAAATACGAAGCTCTAGCCTTTCTTGATGCCAGAGTCTGCAAGGTTAATCCTCAGGGCTGAGTTTGAGGGAGATCACCATTATCAAGGACGGTCTCCTCTCTCCTCAGCCCTGAAACACCTATGGATACAGGATCTGGCTGTTGCTGAGGCCAAAGCTTCGCTTCCTAATCTCATGGCCGTTTTTCTCAATTGCCGTCTTGTTCTTGGCGGCAGGAGAGGAATCCAGCCCTGGAACCGATAAATACGAATCTGTGGCCTCATTATAGACCAGGGCCTGCAATTTATTTTATATAATATTTTTTTTATTTAATATTTTTTTTCAATGATTTGTTTTTAAAGATTATTGATACAGTATCTTTTAATATTTAAGTAAAATAGCAAAATACCCTTTGAAAAACTATATTCATTCATATAAAAAATACGTCTAGTAATGCTCTGCATAAGTGGACAATAAAGTAATAAGATTGCTCTTTTATATAATAGAATGTAATTGCTTATTTATTAAGGATATATTTGTAATCAATTGTGATCTATTTAAGAAAAATAAGAAAACAGCACCAAATTCATTTAGATGCATCTGTATATTCTATATTTTATAGCTGCACTATTACAATTGTTGAAACTAAATCCCAATATCCTCCGCTCATTAATTGATGAAAAAGTGATAAAAATTTGAGAGGTCATATTAAAAAAAGTCACTTTTTAATATAGACTCAAAATTTGTCAAACCGAAAATAAAAAATCTAACAAAAAATTATATTTGATTGAAATGCTGTTTGGAATTGAAAGTAAGGATGTTTGAAAATCCCAGTGATATGTACTAGAGAACTACCTTTTTTTCATAATATCGGACAGAATGGCGAGCCTGAATTAAAAAAGTAAACTACTGTCTATCATTACTATGGCCTATATTTACTATTTGTATGAATAATAACATTTTAGTTATAGAAATCTCTTGCTTTTTTAGATTAGAATGAGGAAGAAATTAAAATAAAACTGACACTTTTTAAACATTCACATGAATTATTGTGATAATCACATATATAAGCTGCTCATTCATTCAACGAAATAGGATTGAATAAAGTTTCAACTCTCGAAATGTCTTTTTTCTCAAACAAATATAGGGATATTTCTCTTCATTAACAAAAGGAAATCAATATTGTTTTCGATACCAAAATTAGTTCTCACATTATTAGTCTTAAATAAGCAAACTCATAATTATAATTCCAAATTAAAGTTTTCATTAATTATTTCATCATCATCATGATTCATGTTTTCGTCTGAAATTTTTGTTGTTGATGAAAGCATAAGTAAAATAACTAATGGAGCTAAATTCATTATTGGAAACCATGCAGAATTATAAATTAGAATAAGATGAAATGAATACAATTGTTTTTTCGTTTTGATAAGATTCATATCTTGAGGGAAACTAGATGTGTAATAAAATGATCTCATCCAAGTGAAGAATATTACATACAAAAATAATAAAAACGGAATGAAAAACAATGCGATATTTAATTTCTTCCTTTTCCTTGGTTCAATAATATCTTTCAAACTAGAGAAAACAAAGGTCATTTCTAATATTATAAAACTCAATACGTATATAACAACTACTATATAGAAAACTCCATTATGTTTGTAATAAATTAATTCAATAAAATCTGAAATATAAGGAATTTGTATATAAAATGAAATATATCTAATAGCTCCTGTTAAAATTAGTATATATTCGAGTATTTTAGATAGATAATATATTATTTTGGAGCCAAAAACTTTAAATATTAATAAAATCTTTGCAATATCGTTGAAATATAAAACAAATGCAAATGTTTGAAATATTCTCAAAGCATTGGAGAGAATATTTAAGCTATTTTGCCAATACGACAAGATTGATAAAGAAATAATTGAATTCCAGGCTGTACAAACAATATTTGTGAAGCAAAATAGTATACCATTCTCTTTGTATGTGTTGTGAATTAAATTAGAATGATTAAACAGCATGATTCCGATGAATGAATAAGGAAAAATTAAAAATATCTCGAATATCATAAAAAATATCGCAATTGGGACATCACATGTAGGTGTAGCAGAAAATTTACACCTTCTGAAAGTAATGCCGCTGATTGCTAGATATAAACTATTCAAATAAGAATTTTTCAAAGGATATAAGAAATTATTCTTATGATATATTTTAATTATTTGGTAGAAGAATTGTATGTTGAACTATTTTTGTCACTTTTTAAAAAATTAATGGAATAAAAAAATTAAAGCAAGTAAATAGCTAATTATCAAAATAATGGTAAATTACTTAAAAGCTTCACATCATCAGATGAATCCATCACTATTACTGCCGCATGCGAAATTATTTTTGGCGAAAGTTCTTCCTATTATTGTTTCAGTTCAAGTCGAACAACATTAAAAAGATTTTCATTCGAGCCAAACCCACAATTACGAACAATCCAGCCCTATGCATTCTACAATTGCATAGGACTAACAGAAATAGATTTATCTCCATGTACAAAACTAGAAACAATTGATTCCCACGCTTTCCACAAATGTTCAGCAGTAACAAAACTATTATTGCCAGAAAACCTCAAAACAATTGGTTCTTATGCAATATCCGAATTATCTTTAACTTCGTTATTAATTCCTTCATCAGTAGCAACGATTTTCGAATATAGTATTTCATCGATGACTACTTTAACATCATTACAATTTGCATATAATTGTTTGCTATCTTCCATGCCTTCGAATTGTTTTGCAGGAATGAAATTCACAAGTTTGCAAATACCACCCTTTGTTAGTTCAATTACAGGAAAAGCTTTTACGTCATGTAGATTCATAGAGTCAATTCAAGTTGATCCACAAAATGAATACTTTTGGACAGATTCCCGAGCTATTTTTTCAAAAGATAATTTATCCATAATTTATATTGCATCAAATTCAGGAAGTTCATATGAAATTAGTGTTAATGTAAGTAATGCTGAAGAAGGATTATGTGTTTCTAGCCAGATTACTTCTGTTACATTTATGAATGGCCTTCAAAAGATTAAAAATAATTGTTTTGCTGGATCTAATTTGAGAAATTTAGTAATTCCAGAAACAGTAACATTTATTGATGACCATGCATTCTACAACACGCAGCAACTAACTGAAATAACACTTCCAAGCCGTATAACAGTAATAAGAAATTATTTATTTGCTAGATCTAAATTAAGAAGAATTACAATTCCAAATAATGTAACTTTGATTGAAGAATTTTCTTTTTCGAATTGTGTAGATTTAACTGAAGTTATATTGCCTGAAAACTTGAAGGAAATGGCAGGTGGAGTCTTTTCAGATTCACCAAATGTTGTTTTATCTCTTCCATCCGGTTCGAACTTAATTATCGATCAGCAATACTTGCTAATGGATAAAGAAAAAACTATGATTTTGCAGTATTTTGGTAATACAGATACCATTGTTTCTATTCCTTCGACAATAAGTTTGATTAAAAAGGGTGCATTTCAGAATAAAAATAAATTAGTAGAAGTTCGAATTGATGGTGCAGATAATAATCTACTTGTTATTGAAGATTTTGCCTTCAATAATTGTGAAAAACTTTCAAAATTTCCTTCTTTAAATCAAGTGACAAAAATTGGAAGATTTTCATTTAATAACACAAAAATAGATAATGATTTAGCATTTTCACAAATAAATACAATATCTGAAAGTGCTTTTTCATATTCTAGTATTTCTTCTGTTTCATTCATATCAAATGGAAACGTTGATCTTTCAAATAATTGTTTTCTTAACTGCCAAAATTTGAAATCATTGATGCTTCAAGGAAATGGTAACTTTACTTTGGGATCTTCTTGCTTTGAAGGTTGTTCTTCCCTCAATTACGTATCTATACCAAATAGAGTATTGAGTTTAGGCGTTAGCTGCTTCATGAATTGTGGATTGACATCTGTTTCATTTACCGATAATATATTATATCAAAATTATATTCCGGATTTATTGTTCAAAAACTGCAGAAATTTGAATCAGATTTCGATCCCAAACGTTAGGACAATTGGTGCTGAATCATTCTCTAATACAGCTATCGAAGAAATACTTCTTCCAGACACTGTTGAAAGCTTAAATACTCAATGTTTTAAAGGATGTTTTGCCATGAGAAAATTGACAATAAATCCAAATTCGAAATTGTCGAATTTGGATTATGGAGTTTTCGATGGCTGCTCTAGTTTCGAAACTATCTCCGATTTTGCATCTAAAAACTTCTGTTCTGATAATGGGGCGATGTACAATAATCAAAGAACAAAAATGATTGTCTATCCACCAGCTTCTAAAAACAAATTTTTCGCTTTCACGGATAGAGTGAAATATATCGAAAAAAGTGCATTCATTGGATGCTCTGCTTTGCAAGCAATTCTTATTCCTGATGGATCCGTTGTTGAGATTGGAAAGAATGCCTTTGAAGGCTGCGTTAACTTAAGACATATTAACTTGCCTCTATCTGTCACCAAAATTGGTGAGGATGCGTTCAAAGGTTGCGAGAAACTTATTTGTGGAGTAATTATAGAGAATAAGACTGGGTCATACATTGATATGATAAGAAAGGCAGGAATTGAGAGTCGAATGACCTCTTTTTGTAAAGATTTCACTTGCAGAGTTCGAAATCAGTTTGGAACTTTAAGCAATGTCTTATTTATGATATCTGTCTTTATATTAATGTAAATGAACGTATATTTTTCTCTATTGTTTTTTGATGATGAATTTTTTGATATTATTTTGCTTTGATTTATTGATGTATAACTTTTCTTCAAAAATGTCAATGCTTTTTCATTGTGTTTCTTTGCAATAATCTAATGATGATAAGAATTATTAAAAAGTAGTCCATATTCCTCAAAAAAAGAGAGAAACTTTCTGATAACTTCCTGTTAATCTGAAAATGAATTATAGAACGCCGCTTACACCAATCAATTTTTCCTTTTAATTTTGCTGATCGTATTTGTTGTCTGTAAGTATGGCTTTAGTAATGAAATAATAAGCTAATAATTATTATTTTATCAGAAAGCTTCTCTATCGGCAATTAATTATTTCAAATTATTGAGTTTATGTTTTCGCTATGTAAATGGTGTTAATTTGAACTTAATATAGATTCATTACGAAATAGCTAATCGCTTAGGAAATTGGGAATGAAAGTGAATCACATCAAGATTGAATCGTCACGATTTCTCAAGAGTGTAGTAAAAAGAATAAATAAATTACCGTAAATAATTCAAACAATAGTTATCTTCGCTCTATTATTGACCTAGTTTTGACCTTGTATGGAATAGTTATCTTCGCTCTATTATTGACCGATGTTTCGTTGGAACTTCTCATTCTTCTTGAGAGTGCCAAAGTCTTCAAGGATATTAAGTTCTTTGGCTGGTTTGGCTGAGAGCTCAATGTTCTTCCAACATGTGGCATTGAGTAACCAAAACCATTCTTTCTAGTAGAGTTGATGAGATTTAAGAGATCTTGGCAATTACTTCTTTCATTCGGATTTACTTCAAGCATATGCTCGAGGACTCTGCCAAGAATACCGCCAATTTCTATGTTGATCATCACATTGTTGTGCTTGACTGCTCTGATAAATTCCATTTCATTAGCATATCTCCATGGATATCTTCCTGTCATGAAGATATGTAGTGTGACACCTAATGACCAAACATCGGACATCATTGGATCGCTGTCTAATGATTTAAACAGCTCAGGAGCCATATACATTGGTGTTCCTAGGAGAAGGTTCTCTGGGATCTGATTGTCTTTGGATAATCCAAAGTCAATTATTTTAATCATCATATCTTGGCTAAACAAGATATTATCTGGCTTAATATCTCTATGGGCAATTCCTCTTTTATGGAGATAATTCAAAGCGTTGAGTAAGTCCTCGGTATAATTCAAGTATTCGTCATATCTTAATGAGACGCTGTTATTGACAAGGGTTTGGATATCGCCATTTGGTAAGTATTCCATAACGATCATAATCATCTCAGGCTCGTATATGATGTCATAGATTTTGACAATGTTATTATGGGAAAGTCTGGCCAAGAGACGGAGCTCGCACTCAACAAACTTGATTGTACCTGTTTCGTTGACTTCTTGTCTATCAATAACCTTAAATGCAACCTTTTGATTTGTTGTCGTGTCGTATGCAAGGACCACAACAGCAAATCCACCTTTACCAAGGGTTTTGATGATCTTGTACTTACCTATCTGAGGTGGGATTTGAAGTGCTTTGTGGTGATATTGGATGACGGCGAAATCTTGAGACATTATTGAAAATAATATTTAAAAAAATTGATAAAAGGTACGTTCGGAATGTTTTAAGTAATTATGCTTTATGTAAGTGAATGAATAGATTTGATTGAAATATGCTTGTTTTAAATTTTGCAGAAATTGAGGGCAATTTTTTAAAATTTGAGAGTCTCATCACACTTTTCAATGCTCGATTTTTAAAAACTGTTTAAAAATGGAGCTTATATTGAAATAGTGTAGAGACTAAAAATTACCACAGACTATTTCAGAGGATTGAGTGGCAACTCAATCCTCTGAAAAGTCTGAGGTAATTTGCAAAATTAAAGAAAATAATGGCTTGAAATAATATTTGAGAAATATTGAAAGGTAATATGAATGTAGTAGATTTATTGATTGAAATTCGTTAAAGATTGAGAAAGGCATTGAAATCAATTGAGATATAATGTTGAAACGTTCATTATCAAAAAGTAATACTAAGGTGGAATTTCTGTCGAAGTGTTTATAAAAACATGTGATGTTTTAAGCGAAAAATTTCTAAACTTCTAATTAACATTCAAAAATCTAATTGAAGAAATGTAATAGTATGATTAATAAACATTAAAAATAAAAAAATAAATTCTTTTATTAAAAATTGTAAATTTGCAAAATATGATACAGTATAATATCATGCACAAAATATATGATACGAACGAATTTTATTAGCGGCATTGAAAATATTGGGCCATAAGAAAATTGTTGTTAAATCTGCTTGATAATGAGATATTATTTAAATAGTAAAGCATGTTGAATAAATCGTATTGGCGTGTTTTTAGTTTGAGAAGATTAGCACTTTTGAATGTGATTCAAAAAATTGTAAGATCTACTTCATTGTTTATATAATTTGAATCAATGACTAATAATATACAATATGAAAATAAAAATCTTATAAATTTCAATTATAACGTTATTTACAATTATTTGTTAACAAGTTTTAATTTGTAACAAATTATATAATGTGAAATGCAAAATAAAATTTTTTAGGAAATAAAATTTGCTGTTTCAAATTATGTTTTCAGAAGAATAATTATATCAATTCAAATTCATTTACTTCCAACTTAAAATCTCATACTGATAGTAAAAATACACTTTATTTTCATATCTCAATTTAATTTTCAAACATATTAAGGAATCTTTGCTTATTTCATTTTGGATGATTTATTGAGAATTTGTTATTAGTATTTTAATGATCATTTATCTGTTCTAATTAGATCTGAATTTGTCTAATTGAGCAAAATGAGTTTATTGCCGAAAAGGTCTCAAAAAGCAAATTTATTTATAGGCTTGCTATCAAATGTGGTTTTATCATGCATAAGCATATTAAATAGTATATTAATTTATAATTAAAAATGCATTTTAATTGGAAATTAAAGATTTCAAAATTCTTTTTTGTTTGGAATTTATTTTATAGATAAAATTGGAAATAGGACTGTACAAGCTTTCATAGTACTCCCTTGTTAAAGATATTAAATATCGAAAAATTAACTAAAAAACAAGAAAAGTTCTAAATATTTTGGATAATAGCATGGCTCATTTTTTAAACCGAATCATAAAAGGTTACATAAATTAAAGTGTGGCGTTATATGTTGAATAATTTTTAGCAAAAAGAGTTTTCCAAAAAGTAATTATTTTATCGATAAACAAACACATTCTAACGTCAAGTGGATTTTATCTACCTACATTAGGGCTGTACAAAATCGAGAAAAACATTGCCGTGCGGTAATATAGGGTCAAAAAATCGCGCCTCGGCGGCTCCGCCGCCTCGGCACTATTAAGTGCGCATTATATTTAATATGTCCTTCTTTTTTTTCTTTTTTCTTCTTCTTCTTTTCCTTTCCTTCTTCTTCTTCTTTTCCTTTCCTTCTTCCTCTCCTTCCTCTTCTTTCCTTCTCCTTCTCTTTTTACAACAACGTCGAAGATCTTCGAATTTGATTGTTGGAAAAGCATCTCTTTCAGATAAAGGATGCCTTTCTCACAGTCAACATACGAGGGTCCTGGCTGAAACGTTCTCAAAAAGCCTGAGATGGTAATTCTCTGATCACTCATAGCTGGGCAGGTAGTCATTGCTGACAATACCTGTCTTTATGCATGCACGCTTTCATGTATATGGGTTTACACTATCAATTCGCAAAGTTGTTCCGAATTCTTCCAAAATGGAAGGACCCGAAACAACTTTGCTTGTTAACGATACAGACGCATTACTTTGCATTGATACTGTGCTGAGTTGTGTAGAAAGTTTGATTAGAGTTGTTTTGTTCTGGTATCTCTCATCTTCTGATGAGAGAAATCAAAGCAAAACAACTCTAATGAATTTGTTTTCACTCATTTGTATGTAGGTTTTTAGTTCGATTGGAGCTGCTTCATAATGAGATCTCTCATCAATTGATGAGGGAGATCATAACAAAGCAGCTCTAATGTATATGCGCGTATTAACCGGGTTGTAATGCGTTGTAACGTCAGCTTGTAGTTCGTTTGGGGCCACTTCGCATTGAGATGAGAAGAAATGATTAAAGGACTCTGAAAGGCTTTGGCCGTTGATGTTGTAATCGCATTACTTGGAACTAGCTGGATGCTAAGCTGTGTAGAATGTTCGATTAGAGCTGTTTTGATATGATTTTTCTCATCATAAGATTGGAGGAATCATAGCAAAACAACTCTAATGGGTTTACCATCATCTACTTGTATGTAGATGTTTGGGAAATTGTCTTGTTAATCGATTTTCGAGATGACTTTCAAATGCTATCAATCAAATGACAAACAAGTCTAAGATTTCTCGACAATACATCAAATCATGATGTTTGTAAGTGCGATGAGATTAGAGTTTTTGAAGGAATGACAAGAGAAGTAGGGAAGCTCGGCATTCGCCGAGCAAATTAAAAATTAACGTATGGATTAAATTTTAAGAGGAATTCAATTTTAATTACGGGTTGTTCAAATATTGATTAATATAAATTTATTAATAAGAATAAACAATTTTTGTTTTTGAATTTATTCAATTTATAGCTTTACATATAGTTTCAAAATTGTACAACTATGATTATTTCAACAAAAAATATCTTACTTTTTCACTTCACTTTCACCCTCACTTTTTCCGTAATTCAAATTTCAACATTATGTATTTTAATTCCTTATAGTATTTTTAACATAATTAATCAAATAATAATTGGAAGTTCTGAACTCACTTTTTCCGTAATTCAAAATCAAAAATATGAATAATATATCTATTTATTATATACTAATGCTATTTTCAACTAGAAGTGAGGTACGGTAATCTTACGGATTCCCGTAACTCAATTTTACGGAAAAAGTGCAGTAAACTACTCAATTTACGGAAAAAGTGTCGTAAACTATTGATGTGGCGGTAAAATCACGGTAATTCACGGAAAGCTATATGCGAAAATTTGAAATTATACAAAATCGAGCGAAACACTTTTAAATAGGTTGTTCTCGTATTTCAAATACTATTCCCAGATTTATTGTCGTCAGAATATTTCCAAATTTTTGCCGATTTACAAAAAATGATTTACAAAGCATATTTTTTAATCTAAAAAATTCCTAAAAAAAGGAACCGGTGTGCGGAAACCTCGGTAAATTACCGCGGTTCCCGTTGGGACTGCCATAACCTACATGCTATTTAATACATCAATTCGAAAATATCAAATTCTTGAAGTTCAAATTACAAACTCATGATGATATGTAATCCGTGATTATAAGCGTATTAAATTCTATCACTTGATCCACCTACACTTAAAGCATAATTCTTTCAAAATAGAATCTGAACAACAAAAAATTTATAAAAAGAATTTTGTTCGTCAAAAATATCATTAATCTGATTCATTTTCGGAGTCAAATATTGTTTCGAGAATTTCAAAGACAAGACTGTAATGTGATCTCATTTGAAGTTTTTTGGATTTAGAGGTGAAATAAATTGACGTATTGCACCAGCATGTTATAATAGGTCGATTTATAATAAAATAATTATTATAATAAATTTGATTTTCAGCGACGGCGCTACGCGCCTTTTAGCATTCTGGGCACTTACGTGCCCAGAATGCAAGCTTGAGAAATTTGAAACTTCGTTTCAAATTTCTGCCTTGCTGTTAGGTAAAAAGTTTTTTTTTGGGAAATTGAATGTGAAAATAAAACTTAGTTTTTTTGTGAGATATGGATTTTTTAGAAGATATTAGAGATCTAAGTCTCAATTTATAAAAAATTTTAAAATTGAGAGAAATTTTAATGATATGATTTTATTAGATATTTGGATTTTTTAGAAGATTTTAGAGATGTCAGTCTCAATTTTTAAAAAAGCGGTTAATGTGTCGCGAGCTTGAAGTCTAAAATGGCAAATACTGAACTTTTTTAAATTTTGATTGGATAAATAAATTATACATTATATTAGCATTCTAAAACAATTATTAAAATCGAGTTTGGGAAATCTGAAATTTCATGAAAAGTGACAAAAAGTGCCAAATTGCCAGTATATGAGATTTTAATGTTACCAGAACACACATACCATACATAGTCTAATATTCATAATATAAATGAATTTTATTGACATCAATAAATTTGAATCATGGAGTTGATAAACATTAATAAGTTAATACTAATTTACATACAAATGTGAATCAAGATATATTAAAATTATCGAGTTTTAATTTTTGAGTTTTGAATCTCCCGAATTTCCCATACAAACATATATTAATTTTATAAAATATAGAAATAAAATCAGATTCTACAATGTTTTTTGAAATGTGTCCAGGTGTTATTCACATAATGGACTTAGATTACGGCCGAGTTATAAGCGTTGGATGTTCAATTCTCACACAAATGATTATTGGATTTATTGTCGTTAAGACAGGGCTTTTAAAAGCCGAAAAGATTCCTATGATTAACAGATTTTGTTTTCTATATATGTTTTTCCCACTTGTTTTGAGATTCCTTGCTCACCAAACTGTTGCCGATCTCGACTTTATGCCTTTTGGTATTATGGCTGCGGCTTCAGCTATAGCTCAAGTTCTTTTGACTTTGTTAATGGTCGTACCTTTTAAGAATCGATTTCTTACATACGTATCCTCATATTTCCCAGCAATATATGTAAATTACGTTATAGTTGGCCTACCAATATTTACTTCAATTTGGCCAAAAGCAAATATCTTAATTGTTTCAATGATTACAATGAGTAATGATCTTGTCACAGCTCCAGTATATCTTGTGGAAGCAGCAATAGTTGCTTTGATGAACAGAAATAAGATACATGTCGAAAAAAATGAACCGAAAGAGAAATTTTCATTCAAAATCATTCTTAACATTCTCAAAGGTTTAGTTACTTCACCCATTATATTGGGCGATGCGTTAGGCTTCATAGTTGCCGCTATTGGTAAGGGTGTACCGACATGGGTGGATCGTATTATTTCAATAGATGCTGACGGTGTATTAGGCGTGGCACTTTTTTGCGTTGGCGGATTCTTAGCATCGCATTCCATCATAGCGTGCTCATGGTGGAAGTTTATATTCTGCATGTTCGTTAAGTTCATTCTATACCCCATCATTGTTGCTTTTGTTTGCTGGATCTTCAAATTAACACCATTCTTAGCAAGATGTTGTACGATTATGTCTACTTTACCTACAGCTTCTAGCTGCTACATGATGGCTGAAGCTGCAGGCTTTGGTGCTGGAGTTTCTTCTACGATGATCTTTTGGTCAATGGTTCTATTCATTCCTTTCATTATTGCCTGGTCAGCTGTCCTGGATGCTCTTAACATATTTGTTTCGAATTAATACATATATATTTTTTGAGATTTTTTTATTTCTATTCTGGAAAATGACTTTATGAAAATTCTTTTCCGGAATTAAGAATCACTTACTTGTGCAATATTTTTACATGTTGTTCAATAAATTCTTTCTTTCTTCTTTGAATATTTCTAAGAAATTTATTAAATTATAAAATCGATCAGAACACATTAATAATCACAGTACTGTACATTGGAGCGGTGCGTTCTTTTCATTTAGATTCTTTGAATATTATTAATAGAATTTGACAACATTACGGATATCAATTTATGATTCACCACCGGATTCATTTCTTTGTAATGAACTATGAGAACGCTTTGATTCGCCTTAAGCAAATTTAACCTGTTATTTACGATTTCATATTTTAAAATTATATTTAATTGAAGGATAACCTCTGCAGATCAATTACAATTTGAAGATGTATGACCATATCGTTATCTTATTTGTATACGATCAAATAATCAAATTTGATACAAAATTTTTGTGCGAAATTCTTGTTTCGTATGAGCAAATTTTGTTAATTTAAGCTTTATTTTATGTTAGTCAATAAAAATCACATTTTCACTATAAAATATTTGAGAGATCACTATCCTACAAACGTTCAACCTTATCAAACTTATTCAATTATAATCCATTTAAAGATTGACAAAGTTGAATAAGGACATCTGCCAAGAGGTCTGTCCTAGTTTCAAAAGTGACAAAATTTTAAAATTTGAAATAAAACATGACAAAATAATCGATTTTGATAATCTTCACAAATATTTTTATTACTATATTTATTAGATTTTTAAATAATGGATAAATCTATCAAAGTTTTCTGACAAGGATATCGTCTTTTAATTGAATAAAATTTCAGAATCAAAATGAGTAAGAGAAATCTCACACGCGCGTACAAGAACATTTTGTACCAGTACAATAATTCAAGTAGTCGTGAAACATTTCAGATATATCAGGATGTTAAATCTCGACAAGAAATTTATGAAATCATTAAAAAATCAATTGTTACAGAAGAGTCTATTAACGATGTACTTAACTATTGTCTACATTTAGAAACAAAGGAAAACATTGGTGCCTCGAATTATATGTTCAGTGCTGCTTTTACTTATGATGATCCTCAACTCTCTGATTGGGCTCAACAATATATCATAAAAATGGCAGAATTATATTCGTTCAATTCACATGATATGGCTAATGCAGAATCATTTGAATTACTGATTACTTTCATGAAGGGAAATGACACTAAATCATTCGCAAGTATCGTAGTAATGTCAGCAATCCTCGAAGATACTAAGAGTCGAACATTTCTCTCAGAAGAATCTGCAAATCAAATTTTTGAATTTTGTCAACGTGATGTTGCGAACAGCGGACTTCTTTATGCCCTCATAGCAGACTGTGATGATATACCTGTCGAATTCTACAAGTCAGTACTTCCTTATGCAGAACATTTAGTTGAGTACCATGATACAAGTATTTCGCTTGTTGGAATAGAATTCCTGATTCAGATCTTGAAACATGATGTTCCTATCGACGAATCTTACCTTTCTAAAGTTATTCGAGAATACTATAACTGTAACGACATGGTTATTTATCGTTGCCTTCTTAAATTGTTGACATACTTCAAGTCATTTGAAAATGAATTCACCGATTTCGTATTGTTCTTCATCAGTCCAGAAATTAGTGATTTGACTCTTTTATCTCTTTCTGTTCTTAAAAAGTTCCAAGGACATTGGCCAGATGACGTCGTTCAACATGTTGAGAACACATTCTCCGAAATTTTTGATAACTTACCATTCCGTGTTGCGGACGAAGCTTTGTCATACTTTGCATACGAAAAGGAATATCGGTCATTATCTACATACAGTATTTTCAGGAAACTTCAAGAATTCATGGTTCATAGTAATTATGGTGAACTTTTTCTTACAAAAATGTGCGAAATCACCGAAGAATCCAACGTTTCAGGCGAATATTGTTCAGAGATTGCACAATGTATCGAAGAAAATATCGAAGAATTCGCTGAAATGTCAGAACGCGACCAAACTATGAACGACCTTTGTGAACGAATTATCGATTTTGCTTCTAACAGAACATGAATTCGTTTTTATTTTTATCATTTTTGTTTGTTATTTTTTTTATTTTACCATTAAAATATATTTGTAACATTTTTAGCTGTTTTTGTGAGTTATATTTCTCTATACCCGCTTGCATATATACAAGCTGAAATGCATCCTATAAACTATGGAAGACTTATTGATCATCCTGACAAGCATTTGTAATGAATGTTAAATCTCGACAAGAAATTCAAAAAATTCATAAAAATGGCAGAATTATATTCATTCAATTCACATGATATGGCTAATGCAGAATCATTTGAATTACTGATTACTTTCATGAAGGGAAATGACACTAAATCATTCGCAAGTATCGTAGTAATGTCAGCAATTCTCGAACATTTCTTACAGAAGAATCTGCAAATCAAATTTTCGAATTTTGTCAACGTGATGTCGCAAACAGTGGTCTTCTTTATACCCTTATAGCAGACTGCGATAATAAACATATCGAATTCTACAAGATACTTCCTTAAATTTCAATAATATTACAGCACAAAATATCATCAACAAACTAGGTTTCTTAAGAATAAACAGCAACATCTCTTTAGAAGTTTATTGAGAGTGTTTGGTATATTTTATTCATCACTAACTGTTAAAATATAATGAAGAGTAGGACGAATACCGCATTTAAATTCAAGTGCATGTTTATCTGCAAGACACTTCTCATATCGAACTTCTAAATCATCATTCATTGCAATGTTTTCTTTTTGGCATTCTTCAGTAGAATAAAGATTTAATTCAATAACAAGATTATTTGTTGTTTCTATTTGTTGTAAATTTCCAAGTCCCATAAAAGTCTGTGAATAAGTGTTTCCTTCAATAAAACACTTAATAACTGAAATAGAAATACTAGAACCACTTGAATAAATCAAATATTTATGTTCATTGTACTTAATTATGCATTCTCTCAATATATCAGTACCTGAATAAAGAAATCCAAATATTCCACTTCCTGAATCAACAACAGAATTATTCAAAAATACACATGAATAAGTTTCTGATGAAGAAATAGAATTATAACAAAATATTCCATTTCTTGATGATGTTGCTTTATTTCCTTTGAAATAACTGTAATTAATGTAATTGTTTTGACTTTGATAAACATAAAATGCAGTATTTCCTTCTGCAGTGTTGTCAGTATCATTTACATTTGAGACTGAGACATCTCCTTCAATTAAACAAAAAGAGTTAAATTGTGAACTTCCTGAGTGAATTGATGAAAGAAAAAGATAGTTTTTCGATGAAGAATCTGAAACAGTTGAAGAACAATATGATCCTGTATATTTTGTAATGGATTTCGTACTACAAACTCGATAACTAATGCATTGGCCTTGCTTTAAATAAGTACAGCCACCATCTCCGTTTGAACTTGTACAATTTAAGAAGGTAGAAGTGCAAACAAGAAGTTTGATGTTTGAATTTCCTTCAATTCGAATAACGCCGTTTGGGCTGATGAATGAAAAGAACGTTTCTTCAACAAAACAGTTTCCAGAATCATTAATTGTTTCGTTCTTGTTATATTTAGGAGGACTTGGATCACTACCATAATATGTATTCCATACTGAGAGATCAAAGTGTAAAAAATGTAAGGCGGTGACTCTAACTGCTGGCTACGAAGAAATTATGATTTTTTTCTCATTTGACGGGGAAATTGAAAATTGTCAAAATATAAATATTTTATAATACCAAATGATATCATATTTTATCAAATAATAATATAATCAAATGTAAATAAATTGTAAATATTTGAAGATTTTAATTGTTTTTCTCAGAATGGGAAATGAAGAATCATTGCCAGAACTTGACATTACACATCTAGTTGTTTCTGAGCGTGATCATCTTCTTGAACGATTACCATACTATATTCCACCAAAACACCCTGTTGAAACACTTGACTTACAAAACAATCGTCTTTGTCGTTTACCATTTGGCTTAGAATCATTAAAGAACTTGAATTTCAGCCAGAACTACTTCAAAGTGTGGACAAAACCCATTTTGATTTCATTAAGTTCATACCCAATGTTATGTGAACTTAACTTGTCATTTAACAAACTTCGCGAACTTCCATCATCCTTAAACTCCCTTAAAAACGTTCACACCCTTACATTACATCATAATAAAATCAAAGAATTCAACCTTTTTCTTCCAAAGTTAGCAAAACTTGACTTGATGTGCAACAAACTTACTAAATTCAGTACAAATTCTAATACACTTACACACGTTAACCTTAATTTCAACTTTCTTCGCGAAATTGAATTCAGTTGTCCTACGTTAATTCAATTACTTTGTTGTGGTAATTCAATCAACAAAATCAGCGATTCATGTTACTTCCCATCACTCGTTCTTCTTAATCTTTCACATAACAATCTTCACGAAATCAAACGTTTCAACGAAAAGTTTCCAAACTGTTCACAGTTCTCAGTTTCATATAATTTCATGACCGAATTACCACATCCACTTCCTATTGGCACTATTACTATCATTGCATCCGACAACTACATCACAAGTCTCCCAGAATCCATTTCATCACTTGGAAAACTTATTTCTCTTATTGTTGATCACAACTACTTAGAACGATTACCTTCATTACCATCTACGATTGAGAAACTTGTTATTGACAACAATCGTCTTCAAGACAGTCAATCTATTTGTGGTACAATCAAACAACTTCAAATCAGCCATAACTCATTCAGTTGTATTCCAGATTTCTCTAATTCATCTATTTTCATGTTTTGTTGTAGTTATAATCCTATTTCATCTATCAAAACAAGTTTCATCTTTCTTAGTGTTCAACGTCTTGATTTCACATCATGCAACATCACAGAGATTCATCCTTCTCTTTTCCGATTACCACAATTAAAACATTTAATCCTGACAAACAACAAAATCAAAGTTATTCCAAGAGAAATTTGTAACAGCAGTCTTTCAGTCCTTATTTTGAGTCAGAATCCTATTGAATACATCATAAGTCTTCCATTGACATTGCAACGATTGTATCTTTGCCAATGTTCATTGAAAACATTCCCCTCATGCATTCAAGAATTACGTAAATTGCAGTACTTAGATATTTCAAGCAATTTTCTGAATGATTTTCCAAGCAATATTAATTATGTTTTTATCAATGCATCATGTAACAATATTTCAGTATTTCCTACACTTTCCGACAGTGTTAAAATTGCATATTTCTCACATAACAATATTGACGAATTTCATATTTCATCGGAATTCAGCAGTTTACAAGAATTAGATGTTTCACATAATTTTCTTCATTCAATTGATATTCATTCACTTAAGAACTTGCATATCTTTAATCTCTCAGATAATCCAGAACTTTCAGGTAAATTAGATTTATCAAAATTCCCATCATTGTCTACTCTTGACATTGTAAATACAAATCTTGAAATTGAATTTGATGACATTGATGATTCTCCATTACGAGATCTTTTTTGTTCACAAACATTTGATTTTCCGATTAAACAACATTTACAAATTGATTCAAGTAAATGTTTTGGATATTGTGAGATGAAAGGCATGCGAGAAACTATGGAAGACTCATTAATTATTCGAACAAACATTTGTAATGGATATGATTTATTTGCAGTTATGGATGGCCATGCAGGTAATTTTACTTCTTCTTTTGTTAGTCGGACATTTCCAGCAATGATATCTTCTCTGGATGAAATCACAATTGAGAAAGTTGCACAAAGAATTAAAGATCTAAATGAAGAAATCCGAAAACAGAATTTTAAGGATGGAACAACACTTGTCGCAATATTAAAGAAAGAAGATCAAATTCTTTGCTTCAATTTGGGAGATTCTAGAGCAATAATAGTAAAAATGGATGGAAGTATCTTTCCTTTGACATATGATCATAAACCAGATGGCATAGAAGAGTTCGACAGGATCAGGGAAAAGGGTGGATTCGTTATTGATAAGCGGACATCAGGAATTTTGTCTATGTCTAGAAGTTTGGGAGATTTCTCTGTTAGAGGAATAATTTCTACGCCAAGTGTAATCGAATACAAAGCTCAACCAAATGATTTCAGGATTGTTATCGCATGTGATGGATTATACGATGTCATGACTAACGAAGAGATCGGATTGGTTGTTGCAAGTGAAGAAAATGTTCATAGATGTTCTGCAACACTTCGGAACTTGGCATTTACTAGAATGTCTCAAGATAATATTTCTGTGATTGTTATTGATGTACACAATCATTCTGAATAAATTTTATTTGTGTTTGTTTTATTAATTTGACAATCGAATTTCAGAAAAAAAATTGCATTTAATTTATTTGATACAATGATAGAAATTTTATTGCAATTTTAATTGAAAAATGGATTTTAGAAGGCAATAGAATGACAGTTTTCTTGCACAACATTTGAACTACTATTCAAAATTGAATTCAAAAAAGTGACATGATGGTAATTATAGATATAAAGCATCTGATATTAAGAACTCTCATGCAAGATCAAGTAAAGATATGGAAGTGTTTTGTCTTAAACTATTCTATGGCGATTATGAAGCAATTGATCTTTTTTGGTGGCAAAAAGTGGAAAATATGCCACTTTACATGTGTAAATTTTGAGATGTAAAGTGCCTTTCCATGAAGTTTTCCATAGTTAATCAAAGAATTATTAGATTTTTACACTTTGATCTCTCGCTATGGAATACATATTATGGTAGTGATACAAATCCTACTAAATATAACAAGAACGAAACAATTAATGATCCTGGAAACTGTTTCTTCAAATTATTAAAACAATTATTAAAATCGAGTTTGGGATCAGCCCAAACGGCGTTATTCGAATTGAAGGAAATTCAAACACCAAACTTCTTGTTTGCACTTCTACCTTCTTAAATTGTACAAGTTCAAACGGAGATGGTGGCTGTACTTATTTAAAGCAAGGCCAATGCATTAGTTATCGAGTTTGTAGTACGAAATCCATTACAAAATATACAGGATCATATTGTTCTTCAACTGTTTCAGATTCTTCATCGAAAAACTATCTTTTTCTTTCATCAATTCACTCAGGAAGTTCACAATTTAACTCTTTTTGTTTAATTGAAGGAGATGTCTCAGTCTCAAATGTAAATGATACTGACAACACTGCAGAAGGAAATACTGCATTTTATGTTTATCAAAGTCAAAACAATTACATTAATTACAGTTATTTCAAAGGAAATAAAGCAACATCATCAAGAAATGGAATATTTTGTTATAATTCTATTCCTTCATCAGAAACTTATTCATGTGTATTTTTGAATAATTCTGTTGTTGATTCAGGAAGTGGAATATTTGGATTTTCTTGGTCGGGTACTGATATATTGAGAGAATGCATAATTAAGTACAATGAACATAAATATTTGATTTATTCATGTGGTTTTAGTATTTCTATTTCAGTTATTAAGTGTTTTATTGAAGGAAACACTTATTCACAGACTTTTATGGGACTTGGAAATTTACAACAAATAGAAACAACAAATAATCTTGTTATTGAATTAAATCTTTATTCTACTGAAGAATGCCAAAAAGAAAACATTACAATGAATGATGATTTAGAAGTTCGATATGAGAAGTGTCTTGCAGATAAACATGCACTTGAATTTAAATGCGGTATTCGTCCTACTCTTCATTATATTTTAACAGTTAGTGATGAATAAAAACATTCTCTTTTAATTTTTTCGAAATCAAGAAAAACTTAAGTTATTTTTACTTGAGAAGTAAGGACATAGTTTTGCATATAGTGCCACTTCAATAGCGCTGTTTATATTGCTATTGTGCGCTATTTTAATATTAATACTTTATTATTACAGTGTTTGACTGAGATATAAGGAATCTGGCATTTATGTAGCTCGGAAATATGAGTGGTATCTAATTTTGTAGAAAACTCTAAATTTTTAATTTAATAATTACTAATGAGAACAAATAAAACAGAAATAATAGGAATTTATAAGTATAAAAACTTTTAAACTAGTTACAAAATCATTACAATAAATGGCATCACTTCTACAAAATTCAATTTCAAAAAATTCGCTCGAATAATACAGGAACTCTTTGTATATACATAGAAAGGTAAAACCTTTTTAACTGTGCGGTTTCCAAATGAATCAAAAGGATAGTTTATAGGAACTAAAATATTTAACTCTTGGAAACAGCCTTCAAATATGTTATCAACTTGATATGTTGTCATATCATATATGTAAATGTTCTTAATTGGTGAATACGAGAAAAAGCTATAGCTAAGTGTAGATCCAAGTGGAAATCGAAAAGATTTTATACCAGAACCATGAAATGTATAATGTGCCAAGTAAACATCCTTAAAGCCATCTTCAAAATGAATCTCTTCTAATTTTTTACAATAAACAAATGTATCTCCTTTAAAAATTGTAACTGTTTTAGGGATGTATACTCTAGTTATATTTGGAGCTGCATAAAAGCATCGATATCCAAATCCGTGTACAGTTTTCCCTTGAAATTGAGATGGAATTATACAATCAACGAGATTAAGGTTTTTCAGACCATTCGTTGGAATACTCGTTTGGTTTCCAATAAGATATCCATCACTATATGCAGAGTAATAAAAGTTATCGTCTGAAATTACCACTAAAGTTGATTTATTTACAACAAAAGTGACAAACTGGCCCTTAAAAATTAAAATGAGGGATTGACCTCGGTAAATATAAAAATTTCGTTTAATATAACAAAATTAACATAATTAATGGAATTAGGTTTGTAAATTTCAAAAAATCTTCATGAATAAGGCAAGAATGCCTTGCAACTGCATAGTAAGGTAAAACCTTCTGAACAGGCCGGTTTCCAAACGAACTATAAGGATAATTTATTGGAACCAAAATATTCAAATCTTTATAACAGAATCGAAACATGTCATCCTTTTGATATGATGTCATATCATATATGTAAACGTTTCGTATCTCTGAATATGAAAAGAAATCATACCAAAGTGTTGATCCAATTGGAAACCGAAAAGATTTTATACCTGATCCATAAAATGTATAATAACTCAAATTGGCATTCTTAAATCCTTCTTCAAAATGAATTTCTTCTAATTTTTTGCAAAAAACAAATGTATCTCCCTGAAAAACAGTAACAGTTTTAGGTATATATACTCTAGTTATATTTTGTGCACCATAAAAGCATCGATATCCAAACCCGTAGACATTTTTCCCCTTAAAGAAAGAAGGAATAACACAATCAACTAAATCAAGCTTTTTCAGACCATTTGTTGGAATATCTGTCTGGTTCCCAATAAGGTATCCATCATTATTAGTTGAGTAATAAAAATTTTCATCTGAATTGGTCATCAAAACTCATTCATATTCAAGAAAAGTGACAAATCTTGGATTTATTCTGAAGTTTACATTTTCTAGATTTTGATGTTTTTCTTCTTATCCTTTAGATTTAAGCGACCATTTTATATATGTAAATTCTTGCTCTATTTATACCTATTAAAGCTATTATGCAATTGACGTGTTTTGGTTACAATATCAATCATATTTTCATGTTTTCATGGATGAATACTTTATCACTTAAAATTAAACTCAATAAGAAGACAAAAAAGCATCCCCAAATTGATTCACTATGGAAATGCATAAATTATGCTGAAGAATAAAAAAAAATCATGATGAATTCTGATAAAAAACAAATTAAAACAATATTTTATTACATGAAAATACACTACTGTTTGAGTGATCTCGTAAACTGATTCACTTGTGTGATATATTTTGGAACTCCTCGTTTCTTTTTAGCTGGTTGAGGCGGTATCATATCAAATATATCATCTGGTTGAATAATCTTTTCTGTTGTTCGTGCCTTAGGTTGTGCTAATTTTTCTATTTTTTCCATATCTGGTTTTCGTCGAATAATTTTAGGTTTGATGGTGTTTTCTTTCAATATTGCTTCCTTTTTTGTCTGTAGTCGTTTTGTTCTATCTAATTCCTCTTGCTCGAAATGTTTGTAATTAAATTTTGAAGTTGATAATTTAGATGAGGTGCTTGTACTTGTTATATCCTTTGTTATTGTTTTAGATGGGCTATATCGTGCAGTGTAATTCTCACTTGTATTTAAATCGTCAAAATACGAAAAATCACTTATTCTTGAAGGAGCTCGGTATGTTCTAGCTGATGAAACAGTAAAAGGAATGTGTCTTGTTAATGATTGAGAACGTTTATTTTGATATGTAATTTTATGCTCTTGCTTTTTAGGCTGCTCAACATGTCGTTTTGCTGAATCATTTTGTCTTTGTATGAATTTGGAAAAATCACTAACTGAACTACTTCGTTTTACGGGCTTGATCGTATTCTTCTTTTGTCTTTGCTCCTTAGCTTCTTTAACTTTTGATTGCAATTCAATATATTCTATTTCATCAGTTTTTGTTCGTTTTTTAGGTTTTGGCGATTCTTTTTTAATAACGATTTGTGGTATTTCTTTAGGAGGTGGAGAAGGAGGATCTTCCGGTATTAAATCACCACGTTCATCCCAAAATATTTTCTTTGTTGCTTTCATTGGTTTCCTTTTTAGATTGCTGATTGAAGTACGCATCAAAGAAAAATCTTATCGATACTTAACTTACAATTCAAAATCAAAAAGATAAAAAATGTCCCAGGCCAGAATCGAACTGGCCTCTGATCCGTGTCAAGGATCTATTCTAACCAATATACTACTGGGACTTTACGAAAATTAAGAAATAATTTTATTAATAATTAATATGAATAAGGTGAGATTGCAGTATTCCGAAAACAATACAGAATTAAATAGCTCGGCCGATGGTAATTTATTTAAACTATTTTTACTTTCAACATTTTAATTTTTTCTAAATCAGAATCGTCTGTCTTTCGAAATCTCTCTAACAGAGATCCAAATTTGGTAAAAATATTTAAATTCATACATAGTATATTTATTCAAACAACAATATATGTATTATACAATCGATTAAAATCCGATCGATAATAAATTATGATTAACAGCATCTGATTGATTATTGACGTTACTACTAATTTGAGATGACTTAACACTAACTTGTCTTAAGTTCGAATGACCAATAGGAGCACTATAGGGACGACAATCGTCATCTGACAAATGTAAAATTAGATTTGCAGCATATTGAAGGCTTTGAACTTTTTCTGTATTCATGGGAACTGTGTCTATTGAAACACGATTGATTTCAAGATCGCTAAGGTGAATTTTAACTTTTGCAAGCAAATGATCCTTAAGGAGGCCTTTCTTATAGAGAATAATACGAAAACTTTGATTATTAATGGAATTAACTCTAATATGAAACGGATCTCTCAAATCATGTGTTTCACCATATGAAAAAGTTTTTTTCGCAGATGATTTACCTGTTTGTGTGTTAATGATCTTATAAGCAAACTTCTCATCAGGTTTATGGTCTTTATCGTAAAAGGTAAACCCATCTAAGCACAAAAACAGGGTAGGCATTGAAAATTCTGTGATATTATGGGTTAATAGGTAAGTTTTTGACCAAAAATATAAAGTTTAAAAATATGATAGATAATGCAATAGAGAGCATTATTATGTGAACTATCATGGTTTGAAAAAAAATGAATGTTAATACTAAAATTTTAAAATCGAATTATAAATCATATGATTAGTCAATAAAATTCGAAGTTTTAACGAACATCTTTCAAAATTTATATTACATCAATTCAATGTGAAAAAGATCGCATTTTTAAATTTTATAAAACACATTCAATAAGGTAATATAATACTATTTACAAAAGACACGTTTCATGTAAAATATTCAATTTATTTTCTTATTTTGAGGAATAATTTTTTTTAGTGTGCTACCCTCCAAAATTCAGTTTTGTGCGGTGAAACCTGTTATTGAGGAAAACTGTTGAATCTGGTCGTACCGTTTCGAGCCGTGTTTAAGCCATGCAAGAGTCAGACTTGGATGATATAAGTTATTAGTTGATCTGAATCTTCAATATCTAAGTTGATGTATTATTCTAGTTTTGAGCATACACATAGATTTTAGTGAGTATTTGCATATATGTCTTATCATTTATTAGTGGTTTACCGCATGATTTGCATTAAAATAGAATTGATTTGAGGAATAATTGCAAATAAGCGAGTAATTATGTTATCACATTGGATAACCTATCTTAATATTATATTTTGGACGAATTTTAAGTGTCACAGAAATTGAAAGCAATAATATTTGCGGGAAGATTTGAATGGATATTTCGGTTGGCGGGGAAATTTGAAAGAAAAAGAGGCGCCAAAAAAGGTGCCATTTTTCATTTGGTTTTCTCTCTCGAGCAGCCAAGTAAATCTTCATTATTTATTGCACCGCACAACATGCAATGACAAAACATGAAGAAAAGAGTTGGTTTCGAAGAGCTAGCCAAAGAATATTTCATTGATCTCCTGAGCTATTTCTTTCTTAGTTATTACATCGCACAACATGTAATGATGATAAGTGTAGTAAAATAGTTTCTGATGATCAATTGCATTAAGGCCAACACTAATTCCCCGCAGCTGTTTGTGCTTTCAAACTAGAGACGCCTTCGATACTTTCCATTGACTCTTACCGGTTATCTCACGCCTGTCTCTCTTACTTTTGCGTCTATTCAGATTCATCTTTGCAATCCCAACACTTATTGTATACCACTACTTCTTGACCCATCAAAGGTGTCGGATGTGATTTTACTCGTAAAGGTCAAAGCATTCCCGTCAAATCGTAAAAATGTCATAATCTCATGGTGGACATAGCTGGAGTCACCGCCGATAATCTACTTGCTGAGATGCTACGCAGCCTTTGGTCTGGCCAATCATAGTGCTGCTCCATCCACATCAGCAAGTGATTTCAGCATCAGATCTCCGCTTAGTCTACCATGAGAGTTCTGCAAGCCAGAAGCGCAATATCTATGCAGCCTAGCTGCAATGGTATAGTAGCTAGGCTGCATGGATACTGCGTTTATTGAGATATTAGTTATATCGTCATTGCCCTCATACTTTATACTGCTGCTTCCTGGTCCTTAACGTCCCAGGAATGTAGAATTACTCGAATGAGGCAAAGTCCTTCCGAAGTCTCGCATTTGATGAGAGGCCTCGGAAGGACTTTGCCTTATAATACTTTTACTACAGCTCCATAGTCCCCAAAGGGCTAGGGATTGTGTAATTAGTCGGATATGGCAAGCTGCTCTAAAGTTTCTTTCTCATCATATGGGAGACTTCAGCCGAACTTTGCCTTAAGGTAATTTTGTTGTGGTAGGTGGTTCACAAAGAGCGAGAGAACATGTATGTAATTCATTTATGCTGAAGATATCTGGATGTCTTTCAAAAGAGTAATGAAATCCAGAAATCTTCAGCATAAATTGATGCAGATGTGGTTCTCTGGATCTTTACTGGCCAGAATGCATATAAAAAGTTTCAATATAGTTAAAATAAAGAGTTAGTAATAAATTTCTTATTAATTGTAGAAACTTTTTAATTATATGTTAACTCATATTTCATATCAGCATGGTATCATGTTTTAATAGCGGAGATCTATCTATTTTATTATTATTAAAATAAATAGATTTAAACAAAGCTTTTGAACGGAATTATCGCAAGAAATGAATACAACAGAATTTGATAAGTTAATTCTATGATTTGATCTGTTAATATTTTCAGTTTTACTTGGAGAAATTGAAAATTGAATCACAAATTTTCCAAAAAAAATTCAAATTTAAAATTTTGAATGTAATAAATGAGAGATTTTTCATCATTTTCTCTATTTTGAAAAAATTTGGAAAAATAGCATGACTTCTGATTAAAGCACAACTTCAGGGGGAGTGAATGTGTGACAACGCCGAGCTTATTTGCCCATATTTTGATAAAAATTCCAAATTCACGATTCAAGCAACTTAACAAATAGAAAAGTCTTTGGATTTTGCATTCTCATATGAAAAATGTTTTACATTTAATACATCGAGCTCAAAATGGCATAATCAAATTTTCAATTTCAATTTAGCAAAAGAATTACTTAGTGGGTTTGCATTATAATCACATGAATTACAGTATGAATATGATTATCACTACGTAAATACTACAATTTTAGCATTAACTACATTATTTCTAATAAAAATTTGAACGCTATGAAGAATGAATCTAGTTTCAACTATATAAAAAGCTTTATTGATGCCAGTCTTAATATCTCATTCTGGGAGACATTGCTAGTGCATGCCTCAGATAATGATACAATTTTGCTCAATCAGTTAAAGTTATTGAACGATATGCATTCTGTAACTGTACATCTCTCACACATATCAACATTCCACGCAGTGTTACACGTGTTGATACACATGCATTTTATAACTGTATTAAACTTAATTGTGGTGTTAATGTTGACAACGATAACGAAACATTCATTTCTGAACTTTTCAACATTTCATTACTTTCTAAGTCATCCATTATTGAATGTAATCATATCACATGTCACAAGCCACAACACTATCGATATTTCTTAAACTTCACTCTATTTTCATTATCCGAAAGTACTTCTCTTGGCTTTAATATATAAAATAAAACTTTAAATTTATTTTCAAAATATATTAGTCACTTTTTGAGAGGAGGGACGACGATTAAAAAGTGAGTATATATATTTTAATAGTTGCTTGATACTTTTTCGGGCTTATTTATAAGCCCGTAAAAAGTATCACAACTATTTAATTATTTTTCATTATAGGCCTTGACTTTTGAATTTGAAAAACTATTAGGAACTCTCATGCAAGATCAAGTAAAGATATGGAAGTGCATTGTCTTAAACTATTCTGTGGTAGATATGAAGCAATTGTTCTTTTTTGGTGGCAAAAAGCGGTAAATATGCCACTTTACATCCGAAAATTTTGAGATGTAAAGTGCTTTTCCATGAACTTTTCATAGATAATCAATGAATTATCAGCCTTTTTACACTTTGATCTCTCGCTATGGAATACATATTATGGTAGTGATCCAGCTCCTACTAAATATAACAAGAACGAAACTATTAATGATCCCGGACGCTGTTTTGTTGACGAAACATTCTTTTCATTCCTCAGCCCAAACGGCGTTATTCGAATTTCAGGAAATTCAAACACCAAACTTCTTGTTTGCACTTCTACCTTCTTAAATTGTACAAATTCAAACCCATACAGTTTCTACAATGCCGGATGTACTACTTTAAACCAAGGCCAATGCATTAGTTATCGAGTTTGTAGTACGAAATCCATTACAAATAGTGCAGGATCATATTGCGATACATGGGTTTCAGATTCTTCATCGAAAAACTATCTTTTTCTTTCATCAATTCACTCAGGAAGTTCATTACAGAACTCTTTTTCTTTAATTAAAGGAGATATCTCAGTATCAAATGTAAATGATACTGACAACACTGCAGAAGGAAATACTGCATTTTTTGTTTATCAAAGTCAAAATACTTACATTAATTACAGCTATTTCAAAGGAAATAAAGCAACATTAAGAAATGAAATATTTCGTTATAATTCTATTTCTTCATCAGAAACTTATTCATGTGTATTTTTGAATAATTCTGTTGTTGATTCAGGAAGTGGAATATTTGGATTTTCTTGGTCGGGTACTCATATATTGAGAGAATGCATAATTAAGTACAATGAACATAAATATTTGATTTCTGTATTGGATTCTACCATTTCAGTTATTAGGTGTTTTATTGAAGGAAACACTTATTCACAGACTTTTATGGGACTTGGAACTACACAAATAGAAACAACAAATAATCTTGCTGTTGCATTAAATATCCTTTTTATAGAAGAATGCCAAAAAGAAAACATTACAATGAATGATGATTTAGAAGTTCGATATGAGAAGTGTCTTGCAGATAAACATGCACTTGAATTTAAATGCGGCATTCGTCCTGCTGTTCATTATATTTTAACAGTTAGTGATGAATAAAAACATTCTCTTTTAATTTTTTTCGAAATCAAGAAAAACTTAAGTTATTTTTACTTAAGAAGTAAGGACATAGTTTTGCATATAGTGCCACTTCAATAGCGCTGTTTATATTGCTATTGTGCGCTATTTTAATATTAATACTTTATTATTACAGTGATTGGCTGAGATATAAGGAATCTGGCATTTATGTAGCTCGGTCATATGAGTGGTATCTATATTTGCGAAAAAACCGATTTTTTAATTTTAATTTGAAGAAAAATACACATGAGGTATGACGTTTTAATTCCCTATTCATGGAATGTAATAGCTTGAAAGAATCATACCCATATCGGTTGGCCAATTGACGTATTTACCTATTTTCAGATCTGCTCGAATAATCACGAGTGAAGAAAAATAAACCACAAAAAATACTGATAATGACTTCATCAAAAGTATATTCAAGATTTCGATATCAGAAAGTCCAAAATCTTTGTGAAGTGAATTGATATAAAATCTTCTATCGTTTTTACGCTCAATCGGATATTTTAATCATAAATATATATTTCATTGCATTATATGCTAACTGATTTCTGTCAATTTTTTAAAGGGTAACGATTTTATCATTATTTTTATGAAATATTGATTATCAAATGTACAACATTATATGAAATTCAGTATAAAAATTTTACGATTCATTCAATTTTTAGAAACCGTTTTAATTTAAATTTATGAGCATCTGGGAAACTTGCCAAGCTGGCAATTTAGAGGAATTCAAGAAAGCCATAAACAAAGAAAATGTCAATGAAGTTAATGAAGAAGGTTTATCCATTCTGTTATACGCTATCCAGCAAAAACAATCCGAAATGGTCAACGTTATCATAAAATTGAAAGGAGACCTCACCTTTAAAGATAAAGAAGGAAGAGATGCAATCATATATGCAGCAATTTATGGATTAAATTCCTTAGTTGTTGTCTTATATAAAAACAAAGCTCCGTTAGACACAGTTGATAGCTCTGGTCGTAATGCATTGCATTATGCATCAGAAAAGGGAACTAAATCATCAATGGATTTCTTCTTAAAGGCTCATTTAAGTCCGAATCTCCAAGATAAGTCCGGTAATACTCCAATTCACTACACAATTCTAAGTGGAGTTAAAGGTATTATCAATTTATTTGAGCCTTATCAGCCAAACTTTAACTTACAGAACGCAGAAGGCGAATCTCCAGCACATTTAGCTGTTAGAAGTGAAAACTTTGCTTTAGTCAAGTATCTTTCTAACAAGAAGCTCAACGTCAACTGGAATCTCCAAAATAAAGATGGATTAACACCAACAATGATTGCTGCCAAAATGGGACTCGACAAACAGCTCGAACTGATCTTCAAATGTGGTGGTTCAGCAGGTACAGTACTTAATGATGGCTCATCCATTGTCCATCTTGCCGCAGAAAGCGGATTTGATCAAGTCATGCCAATTCTTCAAGCAAACGGAGCTCCTTTCAACATGGCGAACGAACAAGGTATCATGCCAATACACATGGCCTGCAAATCAGGCTCAATCAAGATGGTTCGAGCATTACAAAAAGCATTAGCCGATTTAAACGCAACAGATTCAGCCGGAAACATGCCAATACATTACGCCGTGATGTACAATCATATACAGATTGTTGATTTCCTTGTAGAAAACTCTGTTGACGTAAATGCTCCAGGACACGACCAAAAACGGCCAATCCATTATGCCGTTGAGAATGATAACATCGATATGGTTAAACATCTCATTGATTTGGTCTGTGACTTGAACGCGAAAGACAAAGAAGGATTAACTCCTCTTCATTATGCAGTACAACGCGTGAACATACCAATTATCAATGCTTTGATTGTTGCTGGTGCAATGATTAACCAGCAAACAAGGCATGGTGATTCTCCTTTGCATTACGTCGCAGCTGAAAACGCTCAAGAAGCTGCGAAATTGTTATTTGCTGCAGGTGCAAATGTCAATTCAACAAATGACAAAAAAGAAACACCATTGCATATATCAACAGAGAAAGGAAACATCGAATTAGTTTCTGTTTGCATTGATCAAAAAGCTGATGTCAATGCTGTTGATCAAAATGGAGAAACTCCGGCACATTTGGCAACAATTAATTGCCAACTTGGAATTTTACAGAAACTTGGAGAAGCTGGTGCTAATTTGGACATCAAAGATAATGATGGAAATGCTCCTCTTCATATTGCAGCACATCAGCAAAATGAAGATTTCGTTATGACATTGATTAAATTCAATGCAAAAGTTGATACAACCGATGCTAAAGGACAAACTCCTTTACATATTACTGCTGATTTATGTAATATGAAACTAACACAGTTGTTATTAGAAAATGGAGCTCCTATCAATGTTGTTGATGTTGATAAGAACTCACCTTTGCATTTGGCCGCACTAAAAATGGATAAAAAGATTGTTGAAACACTGATAAATGCAGGTGCTGATGTAAAACTGATGAATGAAAAAGGTTTGACACCGTTACAAGGTGTTAGATTGACTTTCTCTAAGTTCATGAGACAGATTGTTGAAAAGAGAGATGAAGAGAACGCAAAGAATAAGAAGGATGATTATGTTCCTGGAACAATTATGGCACAAACAGATAAACCTCAGGAATTGTACGCGGAATTGGATATGAAAGAAACACCTTGTTTACTTTGTAGAAGAAGAGTCGCAGTTGCAGCAATGATCCCATGTGGACATATCTGCTGCTGCGAAGTATGTTTGAAGGATAGAATAGAGATGCAAAAGGTTTGTCCTTTCTGCAAACAACCAATAACTGGAGCTCTTAACATTGTTTCTGAATAAAAAAAAAATTAATTTATTATTTTTTTTATTACGTATTTTGAATCTATCATAGAATACAATAATAAAATTTTAGGAAAACACATGAGTTGCGAGTCAATTTTCTTTGATGAAATTTATTATCTGAAAATCTTTCGACTAATAATACTTGAATATAGAAGTTTTGATGTTTTTTGCAAAGGTAAATTAATCTATATATCAATAAGACCCTAAAAATATCATAATTTAAAGATATTGAATAAGAATCACAGTAAATTGATGAGATTTCAATACTGAGAGACTTATATTGCTTTTAATTCATTCTAATATTGGCCATATATATGAAAAATATATGTAAATTATCAGAAAAATTCGATGATTTATAAATTTTGTTTGAAGCTTAGTTGAAAAGTGAAATAATATGATATTCATGATACAAAATAATCTGTGCAAGGATTTCTTAATGGATTAAGGTATAATTAAACAATAAATTGTAGAAATTTCCTTCCAGTAGATTTGTTAAGCATCTTAGTTGTATTTTGATAGATATTAGTTAAATTTACATAGTTTTATATGTTAATGTCAAAAATGAATTGTAAATTAAAGAGATAGAATTGAATCGTTTAAGAGTTCGAAAAAAAAACAAACTGAACGAATCAATAGTTACTGCTTTGCGAGGTGCTGGAGTGCGATCTCCTTCTCGTGGAAGAGGTCTTTCTCTGTGAACTCGAGCTTCTCCTTGAGCCAGTCGTTGATCTTGAAGCCGTCGACAACATGAACGTGTCCTTCTTTGTCAACACTGCATGGGAATGAGAAGACAACACCTGGCTTGATTCCGTATGGGTTTCCTTCTGGAACTGGGATACCCATAGAGAGAACTTCTCCTGGTGCTGTTCCGAAGAGCCATGCCTTCATGTGCTGGATTGCTGCCTTAGTTGGTGACGCTGCACTTGTGAAGCCACGGTGTTCGAGGATGTCCCAAACACGATGACCGATCTTCTTGAAGAATGCATCGAAGACGTACTCCTTGTCGAGAACATCGACAACTTTCTGTGTCTTGCCGTCCTTTGTGAATGTTGCCTGTGTGAGATCGGAGACCATTGACTCACCGTGATTGCCCCAGACAATGATGTCGTGGATGTCGTTGATGCTGACACCGAGCTTTGATGCGATCTCATAGTATGCTCTGTTGTGATCGAGGAGTGAGAGGCTAGAGAAGTTTTCTGGCTTCAAGTTCTTTGCATGGAGCATTGCAATCTCGCAGTTTGTATTGTCTGGGTTTCCGATGACGAGAACTTTGACTGTTGGCTTAGCCCACTTGGAGAGGTACTCGCCTGTGTTCTTGAAGATGACACTGTTGCTGCTGATGAGGTCTGCACGAACTTGACCTGGTTTGAGAGGCATTGATGCGACGAGGAATGCGCAGTCGATGTCTTTGAATGCTTGTTCTGGTTCTGTTGTAGCAACGAAGCCTGCGAGGCGTGGAAATGCACAGTCCTCGAGCTCCATTGTGAGGGCTGTCAATCTGTTGATGGCTGGTGGAATATCGAAGAGATGCAAGTAAACTTTGCGTTCACCATAGAGTTCACCGCTGGCGATCCAGTGGGAGAGGATATAGCCGATTTGACCTGCTGCACCAGTGATAAGAACATGTGCTGCTTCACTCATTGTGAAAAAATGATGTTTTATTCTCAGTTCTCAATTCATGACCTCCCGAGTTATCAATTTTCTGAAGGCTCTCAAATGATCTCAGTTTACATTTCCTTTTGAATATCTGCCATAGAAAATTTATTGAATATTGTAAATTGTTTCAGTTAATTGCATTTTTAAGCTTATATCCATTTTAAATTTTCTAAATTTTTATTTGAATATTTTTTTATCCCCAATCATTTCTGAGTGTCAAAACGATGACGCTAACTTTACATGACCAATTTGGTTTCAAAAAATAATTCGTCAATTTTTAATCACGGTATTATGCTCATCTAAAATTTCAGCTTTTACAAAATTTTTTCCCTTTCCCAATTCTGACATAACTACACAATATGGATTTAAGTCATAACAAATGGATATTATATTTTATACAAGTATGTGTAATTGGTTTTATGTCAATAAAGTCAAATAATGATGAATGTTAAAGATTTCATTTTAAAAATTTACATAATTAACACAATCTATAATATAATCTTTTATATAATAATATTTCAAATCATATTTATTGATTATCCAATGGGGAATCCTATCGAGAATTTTTCCCAAATTTCCCTTCTAAGTTGTTTAGACGTTAAATATAAAATAAATTCATTATTATAATATAGAAACATAAAGGCATTGGAAATTATTGGTTTATGTCCAAATGATTTCGAATTGAAAACACATTACCGGATATTTTGGAAATTCGATGAAATTAGAATTTACAAGAGGATAAAGAATATGGTTTTGATGACAGACAGAATATTTGTTAAAATCCATTCAATTTACAATATTCAATAAATTTTCTATGGCAGATATTCAAAAGGAAATGTAAACTGAGATCATTTGAGAGCCTTCAGAAAATTGATAACTCGGGAGGTCATGAATTGAGAACTGAGAATAAAACATCATTTTTTCACAATGAGTGAAGCAGCACATGTTCTTATCACTGGTGCAGCAGGTCAAATCGGCTATATCCTCTCCCACTGGATCGCCAGCGGTGAACTCTATGGTGAACGCAAAGTTTACTTGCATCTCTTCGATATTCCACCAGCCATCAACAGATTGACAGCCCTCACAATGGAGCTCGAGGACTGTGCATTTCCACGCCTCGCAGGCTTCGTTGCTACAACAGAACCAGAACAAGCATTCAAAGACATCGACTGCGCATTCCTCGTCGCATCAATGCCTCTCAAACCAGGTCAAGTTCGTGCAGACCTCATCAGCAGCAACAGTGTCATCTTCAAGAACACAGGCGAGTACCTCTCCAAGTGGGCTAAGCCAACAGTCAAAGTTCTCGTCATCGGAAACCCAGACAATACAAACTGCGAGATTGCAATGCTCCATGCAAAGAACTTGAAGCCAGAAAACTTCTCTAGCCTCTCACTCCTCGATCACAACAGAGCATACTATGAGATCGCATCAAAGCTCGGTGTCAGCATCAACGACATCCACGACATCATTGTCTGGGGCAATCACGGTGAGTCAATGGTCTCCGATCTCACACAGGCAACATTCACAAAGGACGGCAAGACACAGAAAGTTGTCGATGTTCTCGACAAGGAGTACGTCTTCGATGCATTCTTCAAGAAGATCGGTCATCGTGTTTGGGACATCCTCGAACACCGTGGCTTCACAAGTGCAGCGTCACCAACTAAGGCAGCAATCCAGCACATGAAGGCATGGCTCTTCGGAACAGCACCAGGAGAAGTTCTCTCTATGGGTATCCCAGTTCCAGAAGGAAACCCATACGGAATCAAGCCAGGTGTTGTCTTCTCATTCCCATGCAGTGTTGACAAAGAAGGACACGTTCATGTTGTCGACGGCTTCAAGATCAACGACTGGCTCAAGGAGAAGCTCGAGTTCACAGAGGAAGACCTCTTCCACGAGAAGGAGATCGCACTCCAGCACCTCGCAAAGCAGTAACTATTGATTCGTTCAGTTTGTTTTTTTTTCGAACTCTTAAACGATTCAATTCTATCTCTTTAATTTACAATTCATTTTTGACATTAACATATAAAACTATGTAAATTTAACTAATATCTATCAAAATACAACTAAGATGCTTAACAAATCTTCAATTAACTGATTCCGATTTTTTTTTCTTTACATTATAATGCTCTAATGAAAATACTTGTATTTCGATAGAATTGCATTTTAAGTTAACAATCAATATTTCTATATTTTGGGATTTTATTGAAATGAAATTTTCAATGAAAAAGTTTATATGTGTAGCAGCCGATTTAGGAGCTTTCTTCTTCAATTAGTTTCTCTATTTCCAACTAATTATCATACACAACTCATGCAGTGTATGAGAGATAAGTAGGAAATGAGTGTTTTGGAAAATTCAAACCACCAATATTTATTTTATCGTTCTTAAAATTATATAATGCTTTCATCACACATTTTAAGATAATTCAAATTGAAATAAATTAATGGAATGGCGATTTCTTATTTAATCAAAGAAGTTGTTAGAGCCCCTCATTGCACATTCTATTTATTTTCCATTTGTAATGATCCATCATACTATATATATTTTATATTGCTAATATTTCTTCTAATTCCATTTTATTTAGTTGCTTCAATAATTTTACGCAGATCAGGTTTCTCAAAACATAAAACTTATGAACAGGGTAGCTGCTTTTGCATCTCATATGCCTTTTCTTGGGCAATTAATATATATTGTTTAGTTACAAATGCGTTTACTGGACATAGCGTTGATCTAGATACATTTATTAAGGTACGTAGATTATCGAATTCTTTATATTTTATGTCTCTACTCTCTTATTTTGTTCAAGTTTGTCACGTACTAACATTATTACAAACATTTGGCTTCAAATTGATTTATTACTTTTCTAAGTTAGTTCAATACGCATTTACATTACTAGTAATCATCGAAACAGTTTGCGTTTTTATTCCTATTTCGAAATTAATCTTTAATATCCTTTATACCTTCTTAGAGAAAAATTTCTTTTACCTAGAATATGCATTTTCATGTGCATCTTTTCTTATTCTCTTGATTTGCTTTATGTTTTCGAATATAAGTACAATTTTCCCTGCTAAACTTAGGTACCGGGTCAATATATGCCTTTTATTAATACCTCTTGTTCTGTTTATCAGAGTTTATATTTATTTCTATTTTAATTCTCTTATAATTCAGAGAATGACTCAAACAAATCTAGTCCATTATGTAAGATTGGCACTATCTATGTCATTTAGTGACAGATTCCTTATTGATTACCTAATTTTGTATATAATTTTCATTCTCTCAGATCCAATTTACCAATCTGATGGTGATCAATCAGTTACGGCTGAAAATCCAGTTGACCTATCTCTTAACAATATTATTTAACTTTTTTTCATATTCTTTTTAAATGAATAGAATATTATTTGCAGCTAACAATATATTTGATTAGCATGCAAATGTGAAATAAAATTATTACTCTATCGTTCTAATGCTTAGTTTATTTCTTATTTTTTTATGATTTAATTTCTTCTCAGTCCTTGCAACAGTGTGATAAATCATTGCTACGTTTCAGTATCTCATTGTCGATTCATTTATTAATAATTTCATTTAAATCAAATATCTTTTGAAACTTTCAATAAATGAACTTTTCAGCGTTTGGAACTTGGAATATAGCAAAAATATGTTATTACTATTATATTCACTTCTTGAAGAAGACAAAGAATGCCAAATTCACTAAATTTCAATGAGAGTTGTAGTTTTCTTTATCGCACCTTAGTTTTCGGCAAAATTAGAATATAAGGAAAGAAATTTCAAGAGACATTTATTACCCTAACCCCTTTCATAATTTGAAAATTTGAAATTCAATCATAAAAACCATTGTTCTTCTATTTCATCTTGCTCTATTATCTGTTTGTATTACTCTTTAATAAGGCAATTAACCGGATCTTGCGAGAAAATCGAGATTGGGACAAAGTTGCAATTCGGCACTTTTTGTAAAAAAAAATGGGGTCATACTCATAATGAATAGAGACTTATAGCCAAGTCTTGATATCATGCAGGGAGAATATACATTGATAAGCAATTATATTTTATAGTAGTAGTATTCAGAAATTCTTACAATTTACAATACAATTTTCAAAAATGGATAAAGACTTATAGCCAAGTCTTGATATCATGCAGGGATAATATACATAGATAAGCAATTATATTTTATAGTAGTAGTATTCAGAAATTCTTACAATTTACAATACAATTTTCAAAAATGGATAAAGACTAATAGCCAAGTCTTGATATCATGCAGGATAATATACATAGATAAGCAATTATATTTTATAGTAGTAGTATTCAGAAATTCTTACAATTTACAATACAATTTTCAAAATGGATAAAGACTAATAGCCAAGTCTTGATATCATGCAGGGATAATATACATAGATAAGCAATTATATTTTATAGTAGTAGTATTCAGAAGATCCCGTTCTTCTTCTGTATGGGACACCGCCCTTGACTTCCTGTTTAATACCAAAAGCAATAAGCTCCTCTAAGTCCACCGAAATCATAAAAATGAAGTGATTTTGAAAAGAGTTAACAAAATTCAAATCACATCAAAAACAAAAACACATAAAAAATATTTTATTATACTCATTCGAAATTAAAAATAATAAAATTTATATATATTAATTTCATTAAATCAAGGTTAAAAATCTCACCGGAAAAATAACCTCAGTGTGATAAATTTATCACCGGAAAAATTTACAATAAGGTTAATACCGAAAATATCGAAAAATCAACATTTAAGGTTAATTTAAGAGTATGCACTTTTGTCACCTACTCTTGTTCTTCTATTTCATCTTGCTCTATTATCTGTTTGTATTACTCTTTAATAAGGCAATTAACCGGATCTTGCGAGAAAATCTATTGGTCATGAGAAAATGTTTTCTAAACAAATAAATTTTATCAAATTTATAGTTAATAAGATATATAATAGTCAAATTGTCTAAATTGTCCGACCAAGTTTTTATTCAAACATCAATCAGAGTAAAGTCATTTCAAGAGCCTTGTACCGATAAACTAGCCTTGTACTGCCATTTTATGGTGATGTAAAGTATTCAAAAAATTTGCAATGTAAACCATTACATGGCAGAAACTTTAAAATAAACAAAAACATGACACTTAGTACAGGGGCTTTTTGGCTGGTGAAGTCAGATAAAACGTGGCTCAAGTGCTCGTTTAAAATTAAAAATGGAATTTCTCACAGTCGAATTTCTTGGTAGACAACAAAAGTTTATCATCAATTGTCGCGCCGAAGGTATGACATATAGTCAAACTAAGCTTGCATGGGAGGAAGAATACCCAGATCTCGGAACTTTAACATCCAATCTCATTGCTACTGCACTTAAAAGAGCTGCATTAGGTCTATACTGGGAAAAAGGGAATCATGGCGGTGCAGATCCATACCTATGCGAGCGTGATCAGCTCACTTTAAAAGAAATTATCGAAGATTCTGCTTACAAAGGTGAAGCTCTAGAAGCAGCTGACATTATTGACGAGGAGTTCAAGTTGAAAGAGCTCAGAAGAGATTATGGTTACAGATTCCTTCTTGAGATTAATTGTCCTACTCTTGCAGAAGAAGTTATCAATACTCTTGGTGGTGATGATGTATCGAGACCTTATGTTAACCATATTTTACAGCAATTGCATTGCAAGCTTAAGGCATGCCAAGAGATTGAAGAATCAAGATACATGGCGTGTGAACCAAGAATTATCGAAGAAAGTTAGTATACATATCAAGGGTACGGCGGCACTGCGCGCCTCCTTACCCATGATATGTGAATTTGACACTTTACGAAACCGTTAACGTATATTTTACAACACAAACGACAACACTAACTTAACCTTAAATATTTACAAAGCCACCAACCACTTCACCTCACTAATGTAAAAAAATAAACGTTCTCACTTACAAAAGTATTGCAACTCCTCCCATTGCTGTGCTTCATATAACAGCTCATAATCTTCTGACTCACTTTCTTCTTCATATAGGTCAAAATCACTGTCATAGTTTATACCTGTAAGTTTTGACAAAGCTAATGAAACACGCTTACCGTTTGTATCATATGCTTGTATAAACTTTCCATTATGCTTGTAGTCATAAACGCTCAAACTAACTTTACCCTTTCTCCCTCGTATCTGATAGAATGTATTTTCACGAGGAACGAAGAACAAATTCTTGAACTCATGACCGTTGTAGTTTGTTATCTCAATAGTTTTCGTCATTTATATAAAAATAAAATAAAAAATAAACTTAAAAATTAATGATATCACCACCCTCACACGTATGAAAACATAGCACAAAAATAAATTTAGGTGAAGTGGTGAGATCTCACCTGTTTTTCACCTCTTTTTTCACCCTGTTGAATTCATTGCTTTATAACTCTCTCCTTTCTCCAACTCTTCTAACTTCTTCTTAAGTTCAGCAATGTTGTCCTCATGAAGTTTAATCTTTCTCAAAATTCCGTCTTTATCTAATGGTTGCTTTATCTTTCTAAACTGAACTCTACCATCCTTCATAGTATGAATGTAAAAACCTTCTGGAATAGTTCCTGATTTAATGTATTCTACCAAAAACTTTTGTTTCATTGCTTCAGTGACTTTATTTGTCATTTCAATCAAATAAAAATTTTAATATTAAATAAAAAATAACGTTATTTTTTCAGTAAGGAAACGCAGGAGTTTTACGATTTATTTGAGGAGTAGGTTCTGGTTTAAATGTTGGAGTCGGTTTAGGAGTTGACTTTTGAACAGGAGTTTGTACTTCCATAGGTTCAGGAGTCATTGAAGGTTTTGCTTGTGAAGGCGTTGGTTTTGGCGAAGGTGTTGGAGTTTGTTTAACTTCAGCTACTTCAGTATTATTTACAACATTTGCTTTATTTCTTTTCAACATCATAACTGCTCCTGC